CGATCGATAGATCTAAACAGGTGTTTCTGAAGAAACATTCTGTTCGTGTAATTACTGTGGCAGTTATTGTGGCTGTTGTTTAACGATGCATATTTCATTTAGCCTTTCTTGTGCTTTAAAATAGAAGGACTTTATTTTACTTTTAGTATACTGTAATACAGAGTTTTGGACTCTGTCTTCAGATTAACTGTCTGGTTACGTAAAGGCCCTAGCATTTTCAATTTTGAACTCGTTTTAAACTGGGACTCAATGGGTCTTGACTGGGAAAGTGTGGAACTCATGATTTTTCACACGATGAGTCCCACGACTCACCACAACTATTTGTAACAAAATCACTGCTCAGTTTTTAAGAATAACCACTCTGATTACTTACTCAGTGCGCTTTTCCGTAGAGGTGTCAGAGACTGAACTGTTTTATAGCATGGTAGCTTGAGAAGTTGAGAGTCATCTGCCTCACACAAGGAAAGTAACTAAAATATATAAAGACGCAGATTAACAAAATTCTCATTCGTAACAGTCAAGCCTAGCAAATACTTAATTGTTGTTTTATAATTTAAGACGCTAAATTAAAGGGGCTGTGTCACGGCAGTCCAGTTCATTTTGTTTAACTTTGCCAATTACTCGCCCTCAGTCGCTACTGAGTTTAGAGTAAGCAAAGAAATTACATGTAAATGACAAAATCAGAGATCCGAGACAAACAAATATGTCTTCTGAGCATTATTTTTGAAGTTGCAAGCAGTAGGGATCAACTTTGAAAAACTGTTGGGCTGAACAGTTTTCAAAAGCCCTAATTTCAATCCGTTTCAATCTTCTTCAGTTTTGCCCATCCGTGACATTTGCTGTTTCTGTTATGTTATTTTAACCGTCCTTTAACGTTTTAAACGATTATTTTTGTTTCTCTTAATTTAACGGGCATTTTGTAATTTCCAAACTTGGCTGAATTTCGTGACACAGCTCCTTTAATGCAATCCAACAAATACCTCATGGAAGAAAACCTTGTGTTCCATGATCGTCAGATCCATTGTAAACAACCGAGGTGTCAACGTTGTGCAAAACGTGTTACCATCCTGAGAAAGGGAAAATAAGACCATGGCAAAAAATCTGACATGACTTTCCAACAACGGATCAAGTATTGACCGTACAGAAAATTGGTCGCATTCGAGATTTCTGAAGCATAACTAGTACCAGTTTGAAGTTGCAAAACATACCATTAATGCAATCTGCGTGTTCACGGGTTGGTGCCGGAGTAAATGTTTCTAAGAAAAAATCCTTGATTAGTACGTCTGAAACGAAAATATCGCCTGAACAAGAATTTCTAGTTGATTTTCAATACACTTCATACAAGTGACCATCCTTGTAAGACATACCTTTGGTGGAATCATATCCTCTAAAATCTACAAAAAATAATCTCAAGTTAACAACATTGCTTATACGAACCCAAAAAACAAAATACAGGAAACCTACTATTTCGTAACCTGAGATCAAGCCCAATTTTAGCGGTTCTCATACATACTCTCATACTCTCTAACGGCTACCGTTTCGCCTTGCCCGCCGGAATGTTATTACAAAGCGAAACTAAAACTGAGCCTGATCTCAGGTTAACTATTTCGTTATGAAAATCAATGAAAACAAACAAAATAAAAATAAAAGTTAAAACTTCCTTCCGTCTTTTGACTGAATTAGGAAGTAATAAGGAAAAGTACCCAAAATAAGCAATCACTTAGGACCTAGTTCACCTTTCAACATTGAGGCTCAAATACACGAAAACTTTTTGTAAACTGCTACTATACATGCAAAGCACAAATATTGCAAATGATCTTTCGGGAGTAATTAAGAGAGACAAACAAATCCCAAAAAAAAGGAACGTCAGCAAATCGTTTAAAGGTGAAAGGATATTATTAATGAATTTACTTCTCAAACAACTTACTGTTTTGTGAGGAAGCATGATGCTGTGAACGGATCTACCATAAATCTCGGCCAGCACAGATACGGAGCGTTGGGCCTGTTTAAAATAGAGACAGGACTTTAAAGGAGTTATTTCATACCTAATTTAGTTTTTAAGTCAAGAAAACTAAGCCTGTTTGTCAAAGATCAGAGTAATAAATAGCTCAGAACAATGAAAAATGAATAGTTAACCATTCAGTAATATGAAAGATAAGAAGGTTATGAAACTTTCTGACGAGTATTTAGTTTAAATTCAAGACTGCTACGTTACATACAGAGTCAAAAAGAGAGAGCAATCAGAGACATGCTGAAACGAATACCAGTTCACTCGCAAACAGCAAGAGTGAGGGTGGTAGTCTGTCACTGGATTTCCAGCCCGGAATAGGCACAATGTTATTTGCAAAATTTACGTTAGAAATAAGGGCTCATCGCGAAAACACGGAATGTCATGGGTACTGAATTTACCTCTTTTTGCATCTTCATTCTTCTCCACAAAGTGGCACTAGAATTTAAAGCTGGTTTGCTCAAGAGAAAAAACATTTGCCTGCTCTTGAAATATAATAAACTTATTGGATTTTGTACCTGTTGCCTTATAGTCTGGTTTGGCGAAACAATTTCTCTGACAAGGTGCTGTGTCACTGTTGGAAGAGCCCTTTCCCTCACTGCCTTGATGTGAGATTCCTGGAATAAATGCAGTAATCATAAGCTATTGTTATTTAGGAATAGGATAGCAATAAGAGCACTTTTTTCAGAAATCCCTAAGAAAAGGCATGTTGAAGAATTGATGGCTAGAATAAGGCCTGTTTCAAACGTCGTGCTACTGCCGTGCTAAGCTGGCTCGACTGTAGCTCGACTGCAGCACGACACTTGCACGACTTGGTTTCAGACGTCGAATTTAATTCAGTTGAATAGAACGGCTGTTGCCGAAAACAAAACACAAAAATAAAGAAACGGTTTAGCAAACTTTTATATGTATTCTAATGAATTTATAATTTATGAATTGAGTTCGGCACGGCGGTAGCACGACGTTTGAAACCAAAACGAGCTACTGCCGTGAAGCACAGCAAGCCTTGCCGCGCTACACGGCAGTAGCACGACTTGGTTTCAAACGTCGCGCTACTGCCGTGCTAAAGTTGAATTTAATTCGATCAATTGAGTTCGGCACGGCAGTAGCACGACGTTTGAAACAGGCCTAAGTGGAGATTTGCTCTGCAAGACGGGAGTGATTTCTGTCCTCCACTTAACCACTTCACATAGAGACTGAATTACAAGGACATGCATAACGTTTGAATCCACGTCAATGTTGCCTACCTCGCCGGTCTGTGGCTCATTGCACTGCCTCAGCAGGGCTTCTAAAGTCCGTTTAGCACTATCAACTGTACCAGCAGATACCTACAGCGAAACATAACGTTAACCAAATAAAATGCCTTTCCACACTTCAGTAAACTTAAGAGTCCTATAACAGCTCCTTGCAATAATTTAGCAACCCAATTTTGTACTCAAGATAAATGAAAGAACACACACTGTTGATTCCAAATGATGAGGGAGACAAACAGCAATGTCAGACACAAGTGTAGAATATGAACTTTCTAGCAACAACTTTACTACATTATGAAGTGCTCGTACACAATACCTCGTGCAACTTTTTATTTGCACTAATGACGAGAGAATTCACGTTGGTTGACAAGAAATACTTTAAACAGAGGAGAAAAAGGCTGTTGAACATAAATTAAGGTCACTCTAATTTAACGAGACATCTCTTTTACTGAAAAAAATTAATCATGTCCTCGTTTCCTCTTCAAACTATAGGGATCCTTGGCATTTAGAACAGTGACTGTTGGTAATTCATTGACAGGGTCGCAACGCTATGAGTTGCACTGTGCATGGAATGTTTTCACCTTTTTCACACTAACACACAACAACAGGTATAATCTGACTAAGCGAAATCACGCCATAAGCTGTGACGAGGTTCTTTCTCTGAAATGTTGGCCTGCCAACCTCGGCCTCTTTGCTCACCTCATTAGTAAGATCCATCATGACGAAGCACAAGGCATTGATAAAGCTAAGTTGATGTTCAATAACCCACTGAAGTGGCATTCTCTTCATCAGGAAATTGATGGCAGTACATCTGAAAAATAAAACACCAGCATTACTTCATAAAACTAAACACGACTGTTGACCTTAAGAAAATATATACAAAAGACATAAGCACTTAATCTCTCGAATTATTGTAATGTATCTGAGACAAACGAAAACCACATTTAAACTGTCTTCGGCGGACTATAGCATAATAAATTTAAAATCTTACCCGCCATTTTTGGCAAACCAAGCCCTCTCGTAACAACATCCGCATAGTTTTTCTGACAGGTACTCAAACAAAGGCAGACGTGCAGCCTTCAAGAATAAAAAAGAAATAAATTACGAGTACAGTCACAAATCACTTTTCATGTTCCATTTCTTTTAAGACACAATTAAGTTCAATTAACAAAAGCACTTTCTTGTTATAACGACCTCGATTTGTTGAATATGAAGTTAGTTGAACCCATTCTATAAAAATGCATACATTGTCAAGGCTCCAGCAAACAAATTTAGCTAGAACAAATCCTGGCTTGCACTGGACGCTTTCTGCTTTCAACAGCTTTTTTGCTTTTTTTAAGTCAATCACTTTCATTGAACTGTGATCGTGGCATAAATTTATGTAACATGTACGTTACAACCAGGCAACCAATAGAGAAATCAGTGACAAGACATCGTTGCTGTCAACTTTTTCAAGTCAACATTACAACAGAGCTACCACAAACTTTTTTTGAGCTATGTGGACTACAGTAAAACGCCGCGAAGAAGAACCTAGGATTTAAGAACGTGCTGGCAGAAATTTGTCATTTTAATAGTCCAAAATATAAGAACCAGTTTCGCCAAGAAAATCAACAGGTTCTTATATGTAGGGTTAGACTACACTTTCAAAAACATTTTGACATATATAATAAATGTATCATGTGTACAACCATCGTTGAAAGCTGCATATCTTCTAGCTGTTAACCTAGTTTTGTTAGATTTTTGGTAAATAAATGCCTGTTATGAAGGACAAATACCATTTATAGCAATTTCTTGGAATCAACAACAGTATCCTTCTTCATAAAAATTAAGAACCTGTTTAGCCTAAACTTCCAATAAGTACTCCAAACTATAAGAATCTATTTTGCCAAACTTCAAAACATCTAGGTTCTTCTTCGCGGCGTTTTACTGTATTGAGGCAAGGACCGATCGGTATCAACCCTCATTTCATGGAAAGGCTTATTACCTTGTAACCATCTCCGGTTATGGCAGATGCAGTTTCAATCATAACAGCCACTGCGAGTTCACCAACTTTGTAGAATTCTTTGTCCTCCATGGCCATCACGGCTGCTATTGCATCTACCATGACATGAATATCCATTCCTCTACGGTTCCTATGTGATTAAAGAACAATTATATGATACACTGAATAACATGCAAACAGGAATATGTCTCGCAAAGGCTCACAAAACTCAGCGTGCATAGCACAACTCAAGTTAAGCCCTGAAGGGTGGGGTTAGGAACTGGATGGGTGACCGGCTACAAATATCTTGTTGTAAAGTGTGTTCTCTACCCTATTTTATTCTTAAATGCTAAAATTAATTAAAAGTATATTTCGCCCACTCATGGAAAACAAATGGCAAACTAAAAACGGTTTTAACGCCCAAGGTATTAAGCTGGAAACCAGTATTCAATCCATCGACAGCTAAAGCACCAAGTTAACTGTACCTTGGTGTAACATGAATTTAATGATAGATTTCCGTTAAAATTTTGAAATGAGACACACCAACACATAGCTAACGGAAGCAAACTCGTCTTCCATGTAAGAACTGAGTAACGAACAGCAGCGCTTTCCTTAACAGGTGCTCCAGAGCGAGATGAATGAAGGGATTAGTTTCTAAACAAACTGTGGTGTTGCTTCGGTGGGGAAAAGAAATTCAAAGATCTTGTTTTATCAACTGAGTTGACAAGGTAGCTTGGCCACCATAGGGAGATAGAGAAGCTGAAGTTTCGAGCGCTATTTGCTATGATTCACCTAGCCTGTGGTTTTATTGGACAGGGCCCAGCTTGTTGCACCACGCCCACGATGGTGAAGTGTCGCACAAGGTGTGAAACAAATGGTACTGCTGCTGCCTTCAGCTCCTTTATAGTACCAGACACTATCAATATGAAAAACAAAATAAATACAGTTTCAATGCAAGAGTTAAGCTAGGTTAATAATCCTGACTGATGTGATCATTTTTGAGATATTCATAATTTGTGTATAGAAAATATACATTGAGATACAGGTTTCATTTCACATCAAATGATACAATGAACGGTGTTTTTATTTGGCAAAAAAACAAGAACCATGATTGCCTCAAAATGTCCAGTGAAACCTCTATGAGGAACACCAATGCACTGTTATAAAAAGAGGAGTAGAAGAAACAACACGTACATTCTATGTAAAAAGTCGACACCTATGGTACCTTTTTTGTACTCCGCAAGGACCAAAAAAAATTCACTCATTATTCGAAGCTGAAGCCACTAGGCTGTAAGGTAACAATAGTTAACCACATGTGCTGCAATGATAGGAAGAGCTAAAATAACCATGATGTGCAACTTATTTAAGAACTCATCACCATGAATGTCTTGTGTACTTATGGACGATGACAAGAAAAACACTTATGTATCACCATCTTGTACCAATACAATACAAAATATATACGAATCAGACAAAACTATTTAATGCTGAGTTTTGCCAATGTGTTAAGAATTGTAAAGAACAGTTTACACAAAGTTTACAACCTTTTATTGTTTCGTAGTGAAAGACAGAGTTATGAAGGTTCAAACTCAACAAATTCTTCATAAAATGAGGGCTCATACATTTTGCTCGGACACTGAATCTAACCCGATTTTATTTACTTATTATTTTGTGATAAAAGGCATCAAAAGCTCGGTATTGTTCCAAGACCCTTAAGATACTTACACAAAACCCCAGTGATAGCTTGTTCAAACACCTTCTTGGATAGCTCATCAATACACGGTGGCACAGCTGTCTTGTTTACAGTAGGAGGATTTTCTGTTCTAAAGCTGAGGAAAAGCCAGAGTGCAACAAATTGTTCATATATTTTAAAAGGCTTGATTACAATACTGTAAAAAATATGCCAGCAACGACATTTGCAAGCTAATCATATGAAGTGGAAATGATGAAAGAAATACCTTCTGTGTGACAAAACTTGATGTAAAATCGATTCAGTGTCTTCCAGTGACATCATGGCGATCAGAAATGACTGTAAAAAAAAAGATGGAATGTTCCAACTCTCATGACTTAAGGATATCTTACAAGGATTTTGGCATGTACCGTTACATGCAAATTTGTTCACATTACGTATACCAGTATTCAAAAGCTGTTTCAAATGTTCAAAACAATCAAAACCTTGTTTTCAATTCGTCATATGGTAGCCTGCGTGGAAGAGAGGAAGAACTGAAGAAGAGAGAAGAAAACTCAAACCCTACCACACCCCTCGCTATTTTTTTCTGCTCACATCCCTTTGCATAATCCCCTAGACTGCATGCAGACATCTCCTATTTGAAGCAGGTGACGTCTGTAACCAGGCTACTGTCTCCATAATCTGAATGCTTGGAACAGGTTAATGAAAACTAAGGGTTTAAGCAATCAGAGTGCTGTAAACCCAATCTCGTGCAGGTAATCCAATCGTAACGTCTCTATAATCATTACCTGCACAACCAGCCAGGCCTGTTCTCGGTAAAACACAGTGTGGTCGATTTGCATTGGAGACTGCTGAGGAATAACCGTCATATTTGGTGGAAGTGTTTTCAGCACTGTCAATGCTTTCTCAATAACCTGCAACAGACAATATTTATCACTGTCCTTTAAACATTTACGGCTCTGTTTGCAAACCAGAGAATTCTTCCTTTCTCTTTCAACGGTTTTGACTCTTGACGACTTTCTTTGACTGTTAGGTACGAATCATGCTTCCAAATACATGTACAGTCGACTCTCTCCTTACGGACACCTCCTTAAGACAAACAGAACAACTCTGTAAAACGGACCCCTAAAGTTTGTCCCAGCCTTTCTTTACTTGTTTAGTTGACTCACTATAAGACGGATATCTCTCTAAGACGGACACTTACTCCCGGTTCCAAAGGCGTCTGTCTTAAAGAGAGTTGACTGTACTACACTGTAAAAAGAAAAAAGTCAGCTCTAGCGCTGTCTTTTAACTTTGTTACATTTAAAGATTACACTCGCCTTACCATAGTAACAGGAAGTGAAACAGGATTGGTGCTTTCTGGATAAAATATTGACAGGCATGGTCCTGATGTTTCTGCACTGTTATACCTTAGCTAAGAAGCAAAAACACTTTCTTTTAATTCAAAGTAAGGCATTTACACTGCATAGGTCATGCAAAAAAGGGCATGACAACACGTTATATCAACTATCTCATTACTTGCTGTATTAAACCTAGAAAACTGTGGTGCTGTTAGGAAATTTGAACGCCCTTAAGCTTAAATCTATACGATTTTTTTTGAGCTGGAAATTATGAGCACTTCACTCCAGAGGAAAGGATAATTTTAAGCAGAAAGTTAAAATAAAATGCAGTTTCCACTTCTAATTCTTGGACCTGAAACTGATTTATGGGCCAAACTATGCCCAGGACCAACCTTCTGTGGCTCTTTGAGCATTCTCCTGTTACCGCCACCAAATTTGCCCAAAACCCTGAAGGCCACATGAGCAATACTATCATGTGGATTGCGAAGAGTTTTCCAAAGTGCCTGAATAAATAACATTTGGTGGCAAAAATGTTAAGATATTAATGGAATTCAATAAAGTTTTGTTCAAGTCCGGTTTTCATTAGCCCCAAAAGCACAAGCACAAGCATAAGCATAAGAAAGTCGTTATCATCCTGAAAACTGGCCTTGATTTTAACATGTACATGTATAAGAACAAGGGTCAAATTTTTATTCTTTTCTTGTGCTTGTGTTTGTGATCAAGGCCCCCTTACGGGGGGAGGGGGGGTATGTATTTCCCTAGTGTAAATGTCAAAACCTGTCAATTCGCATATTGAGGAGGATTCATGTTGCTGTCAGTATTTTGCTTTGTATTTGCACTTTTTTGAAACTCATCTTTTGTGTCGCTGCTGTCTTATGTCGCTTGTCGGAATTTTACACTAACAGGGGCTGGTGATTGACTTTCCATTGATATTCACTAAACACAGGACTTTTCTTGTCCTAGTACTTGAACTATCAAAACGAAAGTTAAGCTTAAGTATGCTCACTAAACAGCGTGAAAGAGTATTATTATCTTCAAAGTCAACTTACTTGGAAAAGTTCTGCCCTCACTGGTTGAATGTGGTCGTACAGGAAGTCAGGTTGAAGATTGTCTACACACAGCTCCAGTGTCCGTAAGCCCTGGTTATCATACAATGTTAAAAAGGAAAAGTCAATCATTTTGTTTGCCAGCTGAACTTAACATAGTGTTACTAAGGGCCGACGGAGAGGGATTTCACCCAGCTAATATCAACATAACTCCAGGCCACTTTCATAGGAAACAAAAGGAAAATAGGACCACAAGTACTTCCAAGCTGTTTGATTCATCGCCTAGTAATTGCATTTGGTAAAGTCCAACTAGTGGTCTATTATCAGTGCTGCATTCTGATTGGTTGAGCTACTACTAGGCTACATGTTATAGCCCACTGGTAGCGTAAAGCACCACATTTTTGGCACCAAAAAAAAGGATTAAAGTCTAGCTTTAACTAGCTAAAGTTGTTTTGTCTCGATATTCTAGTTGGATTTTACTAAAACAATAAATTATTATTCCTCTCGTCCTACTCCTCTCGTCCTGCGTCAATAGCCCGTTTGGGCTTGAGGAGTAATTGTTTAATACCCAACAACTTAAAATCTTAGTGACAACCCTGACCCAGGTAACAAGAAAAGTTTTTAATACCTGACTAACAAGTGTCTGGGATCCATTTAAAGCAGAAACAAGTGGATCCATCAGCATAGGCAAGTATGGCAACAAGGAGCTGAAAAGGAAAAAATCAGCAGCTTTCAATGGGAATCTTGAGCTGGCCCGTTATACCTTTAATGATCTATTACTTACCAGTACACTCCATACAACTTAGCATTTTTGACAAAAAGGGAATCTTAAAACAACCTGGATCTCATTTACATGCTTGTGTTTATAGGTTTCAATAATGTAAATAGGAAACGTGAATTAAGACGGAATCCATCAGGAAATTGAGTAATTTTCATTTTCAGTGGACAAAAGCCTTGTAACAGAATAATTTAAACAATATTGCATTCTTTTTTACATTTTTCAAGGGCTAAAGATGTGATAAATCATCTGCAGTAACACCAAAGAAAATTTCTCATGGAAGTCCGAGAAAATGAATGTCAAATTTCACAAGAATTGTGATTACTCAGGTAAAATTCTGAAAATTTTATGCGTAAGATGAAATTTGGTAAAAATTTGACATTCATTTTCCCGGGCTCCCATAAGAAATTTTTTTTAGTGTTACTACTGATGATTTATTACATCTTTAGTTCTTGAAAAATGTAAGAAAGAATGCAATATGCACACTATGTTCTTTAAACACAAGGCTGATGTGTGATGGTTGGCATTGTTGCTGCTATTCATCTCTGGCCAAAGCATTATCTAAGCTCCCATCTTACCTCAGCCTGACAGGCACTGTGAGGCACAACTCAACAAATAAGTCTTTCATGTACTGACGATGGATACCACTCTGAAGGTTGTTCAGTCCTTAGAAACCAAAAGGCAAGCAATTAATGGAAAGCAAAGTTAAGAAGGGTTCATTAATTTAATAAATGGTAATTCCAAAATTTGCCCTTATGATGCCATTATATGCTTGACAATCATTTCAATGTAAATCAAAGGCCAAATTTAGACAGCTATGTTTAATGCACAAGTGGTAGACTACTCAATATGTATGTTTTAGTCACTCCACCCACCAATTAAGTGGAGTGACAAAGGTGAATGTGGACCACTGACATAACTATGAAGAAGGCCCCTGTTTTTGCTTTCTATTTTGCCTGTTTTCTTTCATATTGTTTTGAATACTTTCCTACTGTATTTCAGTAACACTACAACAGACTAATGTCTCAACCTCATCCTCATCCTCTAAATGATGTGATTACTAGACTTCTACCACAGCTACATAGCGCCTAGATGAAATGAGACACTAACCTTGTAGCAAGTTGGGTAGGAGAGGCAAAAACTCTTGATACAAAAGATCATGACTTCCTGAAAATTAATGAGAAAAAATAATTTCATCTTTGTTCAATGCTTCTCTTTAATAATACTGTAGTTTCTTTGTGATGAAGAACTGTTATTGATGCAGTAAAACTAGTTAAGGAACACCGGCAAATTATCAGACCAGAAATGGTACAATTATCCCATACAATTTTTATTCAAACATTATCCAATATATTTAAAGTGCCATTTTAGAAAAGAGAGAAGTTACATGTTCTACTTGGTATTGCAAAGTTAAAGACACAAATTTATAATCTTAGAGCTAAAGTTTGAAGATCTCATGATACACAACACAGTGAAGATAAAGCGAAAAACAGATTACTGCAGAGAGGTGAGGCATAATTATACAGTGGGTGTATGTATAGATTCTATGGAACATTTCAGGAAAATTACCTCCACCAATGGATCTAAAAAGTGCTCTCAACAGTAAGAAATAATTGTATGGCTCCTTTGATGTACAAGCAAGTTCCATGGAACGATTTACAATCTCATGCAAATGAGGCTGCAAGTAAAAATAATCAGCTGTCAATGCCAACTAAGGGGCTGTTTACATGGAGGGAGGAAGATCCTAGTACCAGGAAGATCCTAGAAGGTGGAATAACTTTACGTTGGGTTTACAAGGAGGGAGCCCGTGAGTTGTCCAAGTAGAGAAGGTTAGAAAAGGGATAAAAAATGGCGGACGACAAAATCAAAAACGCAATTTGGGTCCTTCTGCTCTCTTTACTGGCGTAAATCACTACCTTTCAGCTGAATTAACACAATAATCTGCTCGTGGATTACTCCAAACGAAATGGTCAGCCTTTATTGCTGTGATTAGCCACTGAATGACCTGTCAACATTTTGTCGCATTTGTCCCTAGTACTAGGATCTTCCTAGCAAAAGCAGTTTACATGGTCCTAGGATCTTCCTAGTGCTAGGAAGATCCTAGCTCTAGGAACAAGTACAACCCTTTGCATGTAAACTGAATACAGAAAACATATGGTGCTAGGATGATCCTCCCTCTAGGATCTTCCTGGTACTAGAATCTTCCTCCCTCCATGTAAACAGCCCTTAAGAGACGAACTAGAAGAAGACAAATTAATTCATTAGTTACACGATTGTATGCTGTTAGACATAAACTGTTCCTAGGCCAGAATTCAAATAGGATGAATGTTCTTTATAAAACATTCATCAGAACTCCTTTTTCTGATCAAAAAAATTACCTTCAGCATCTGTTCATTTTCAGAGGCAAAAAGAGATACTGATCCAAACACAAGCTTGAATAGTTTGAGGTACAGGTTGGACCTCTCCATGTTAGCTGAAAGTGAAAAATATATCATTATAATTTTATATTAGTTTTATTAATTTTATTTCATTATAATTTTATATAATTTTTATATTATTTATATTTTATTTTACACTAAAATACAAGCTGGCATTCAAATAAGAAATGATTTTATACTAATCCTTAAGAGGAAATCATTTGGGAATTTGGGAAGGGTTAATAGACATGAACTTTCTTGAAAGTTAAGTTGTACAGGTCATTTTTAAAATACTGCTAGCCCTACTTTCGAAGCTTATTATTATGTCAATCCTACAATATTATTGGCAACAAAATCGTTGAGAAACTGTCTTCAAATGGGGTAACTTCTGAAAGCAAACCAATCCACACCCCTCTCCCTTCCCCTCCATTCAAAGTTGGGTTGTTAGTTGTTTTCTACAAGGAGCTCAAACAGTGGCACACCATTGCACAAGGGAGTAGTGGAGAGAAAGCTTTAGTTTTCCCTTTTTGAGTTAGCAAAACATCAGAAAGGCCCCATATGAGCAAAGTGTCTCACTTAATGTTGACACAGATTCTGGCTAACAAAAAGGGGACATTTTCTACATGGCCCCAAAAATGACATCTCCAAAATTCATTTCTTGGTTTTACTCCAGACATTCTTTGATTTTCTAGAACATAAAAATAAGTGCTACTCACTTCCCATTTCATCTAGTCTGTCTAGCAGAAATCGCACAAGGATTGTAGCAAATGTTGCTGATGTGTTTGGGTTTGCAAGAAATGAGTTGGGGATAATCTGTAAAGAAATCAAATTTCAGTACAGTAACTGTATATTCAAAATGTTACAATTATAATTATTATACTGTTAATACTTGGATTTACTTAAAGGCATAGCCCCATTTTCTAATAATATTAGCTAATACTAATAATTAATTGTCAGTTTTTGGCCCAGAAGCTTGATATAAATTATTATTCATAGTTAACTTTTAAACTAAGGGTCGACTAATTAAATACAAGTAAACCCATTCTGTTAATTCATTTTCATGATCATATTACTCAAAACTGAGAGCTTATCACTGAAAAGGCTTGGACTAAATAAATATTTATTATAAGCTTCTGTAAAATTCTGAAAATAAGCCCCTCCATGTTTAAGCCCCTCCAAATATAAGCCCCCCAAACTGGTAACGCAAAAAACCCTCCGTTAAATCACCCCTCCAAATATAAGCCCACCAGGGGCTTGTACTTAGAAAATTGCACTCAAATACAAAGTAAAACAAAGCAAAAACGATAAATTTATTTCCAACTATAAGGCTAGCCCAATCGATTTTGAAACACAAATTTCCCTCCGTAGATAAGCCCCTCCGAATATAAGATCCTCCAAAAATAAGCCCCTCAAAAAGGCCTTTGAAAAATATAAGCCCCTGGCCTTTTTTTCGGAATTTTATGGTATTTTTTAAAAAATCATTGACTGTCTCTCACCTGAAGTGCATAGTTTGTGTGAATTCTTTCCACCAGATACTGAAAAAAAAAACGAAATGTAAGTCTGATGAATATGTGACACCTAATTAAACCCCCAAATATTAATAAATTATCATTATTGTCACACTAAGACTAATAATATTATTTAAGTACAGCACCTTGATACTGGCTGTAAAGACTTCCTTAAATGTGGATGTATTCATCATGGTAAACTAATTTTAAAAAAAACAAGTAAACAGAACAGGTTATTGTCATAGCCTAAACATGCACATAGCAAAAAAGGCAGTGTAAAATGCAGACTGCGGACTATTGATTTTACACTGACTGAAAGCAAACAATGAATTTAAGCAATCACAAGGAAAAAGACACTCACAACTCCTGCAAAATGTTCCAAGATTTCTTTTTCTTCTTTCATTCGTACTTGTTGAGAGCTGATAGAACAAAAAACAAAACAGTTAAATGTGAAATATGATGTTAGGGTCGTTTTCATTTACCATTAATTTTAATCTTCTTGAATTCACTTGTTAAGATAATTTATAAATAAATTTCATTTTCATTATTAATCTCAAAAAAATGCCTTGAAAATTAGACTCAATTAGTCAATCTGAACAACAAAGATTTTGTGAAACAAGAAGAGTGTAGAAAGTCAGTGTGTTTCGACATTCCGACTTTTTTTTCCCTGGGTAGTGCTACGAGATACCCCCCTTGATTTATGTGCACATTTTAAATGTTTCCAAGTGGTTGGAAAAAATAATTGGCACAAACATAAATAGTAAATAAACAGCAGAGAAGCTTCACAAGACTAAAAATAATAATAACAGGAAAAACAGCAAAAGAAATCCAATCTTGTTTAATACCCATACCTAGGAGGTCTGAGGTAGTACTGTCCTGTCTGAGGATTCACAGACACTTGATAAATGTCTAGGGCTTGTAAAGCTGAATCATTCAAAAATTGATAAAACAAGGGCAAGACCATTAGCACACACTGATAAACAAACAACAATATTTTCCAGCTCGTAAAAATCTGGTTCAGTGCTAAAAGCTAACGATAAAAGTTGTAGGTAAACAACTAAAAAATTACTCCACACTAGCTCCTTAATGGCCCCTGAGCCTTAACTTTTTTTGCAAATTTAAGAGCCTACAGAGACACAAAATAGACCTTAGTCTGCAAATAAAAAAAAACTCGACAACTCTCACCATATTTCAGGAGCCTTGTGAAAAGATGTGTCTCCCATGGAAGAAATGTTTTATTTGTTTGAGATGGGGCTGGGGCATTGATATCACCAGCTGCAAAATAAAATAAAAAAATTAAGAATTCCCAGAATCATTTGATAAAAATATTACTATATTAAAAGGAAAACACAAAACGAGGCACATGTGGTATAAAACTCATTAGTCATTGAATTAAACCTGAAATTGTGACAATTTAAGTAAAAGCTATTTTAGCAGGACTATCAGGACTATGTTATATTTATTATGCTGTAACTTTTTCTTATTTTTAAGGGTATAGATGAATTTCTCTGGTGTGACTTTTTGCATCAAAGCTACTGTGCAGTACTGTCAGTGGTGCTGTTTATTACAAGGTGGCTCTATCTTTTGAACGTGTGGATGAAAAATGAATCTTATGGTGTAACCACTATTTCAAATGAAAGCTCCTTAGCAGCACTTTCTTATGAGCAGGTTGCTCTCACCACTTCCTTATTTTTGCTCCCTTCATCAACAGTTAACTAATCATTTACTGTAATTATGTTACTTACATGCACTTCCCGACAGCTTGCATGAACCAGCACCCCAAGTGATCGTCTTGACACCACACACAAGCGTCTTCACCATACTGCGGCAGTCAGGAACTGAGAAGGTGGTCGTGGGACTAGGACCTTTAAAATCCAAACATTAAAAATGCTTTTAGAAAAAAGTCATCATCAGTCAGTAATTTGTATTCTCTGCAACCATCATCAGGGCTGTCATTATGGGGAGCTGTGCCATGGTATTTGCCATCTTTTCAAAAAGCTTAAACTTTTTTCACAACAATTGAATTCCAAAAATAATGGTCAACTTTTGTTATTTAAGAATATATTATTATTTAGACATTGAAACTGTTTCCTGTTGTCTATTGCAATGGATGACAAGGATGCACATGGATTGAAGCTTGAAAATTTCGGGCCAACTTTTTCAGATTTAATGCCTGCTAAAATTATTTCAAAGTGAAATTTGTTTGGTATCTTCTTGTGTACATGTAAGAGCATTCTGTACGGGTAAAAGTACTAGGTAATGATTTCAGCATAGAATTGGCCTAACACAGCAAAAAAAATGGAAGGAAAATAGAATTTTAAAAAATCTCCAGCTGTTTGATTCCATGCCTACTTGTTGTATTTACCTGGCAACTCAAAATCTTAGTGACATCCCTGATGTACATGCAGGAAAGATAATACACATAGTCTGTAGCACCTGCCTGATTATGTTGAAAAAGTGCCTTACCTGATATTGGTGATCCTGCTTTCTGTAACCAAAAAAAATACAATAATTATGTGGCTGTGTTAATAAGGTTGACAAATGTTCTATATTATCTAATTTTTGACCGACAAGTTTCCACAGGCTGAGTGGAACAAAATAAGTGGAAAAATGTTTATCTCTCCCACCACTGGGGCCTGCACACAGATCAAGTGACCATTGTGGTGGATACATGTACTTGTTATAGTTGCATCTGCCATTCCCACTCATATACATCGTAGGACTTCAGTACCTCCATGCTGTGTTAGTATAATTCCCAGACTTTGTATACTTTGGTTGAATTTTCACTTTTACAGAATGTCAGTTTGCTGTTTTTAATCTCAAAGAAAAGATCAGGCCGTGGCACTCAACTTGGAAGAGATTAGATTGTTCATGGCATTGTTCAGCCATTTACTGTTTTTTAAAGGAACATGTTGAACAACAAGTACAAGTGAACTGAGAGCAAGTGTGAGTACAAGAAGGAAACTCAAGAGGGTGGGGATGGGGAGAAATTCCCTGCACCTTTGCTGTTTACTGACACACACATCCATTTGCTAAGTTCATCATATGGTATGTATTTTATCATTAATTTTGATAGAGCCATGAGTATGACATAACTAACAAAGATGTGTAAGAAATTAAATAATTATCGAATTAAGACAGACATAAAAATATTCTCCATAAGACTCCTTTTGAAACACTAAGAGCCAAATGTTTCTTAAGCCATGTTTTACCGAAACTTGGTACCTCCAGATCTCTTCTTTGGTGGGTTGTTTTAGGAAGATAAATGCTTTTCTAGACTTCTCTACATGCTTTCATGAAACTGCCCTCAATAAATGATGTTTAGATAAAGTCGTTGAGCAAATTGAAAATGACTTAGAAAGCAGTTTTGTTTAAAACTGGCTAAACTACATTTAAATATTTTGCCCTAAGAGCTTCTGTGCCAAGTATGCTTTCACCAGAGTGATGAAATAATATTATTTGACAGTAAGACAGTATGTATACCTGCCAACTCTCACGCCTTAGGGGTGAGTCTCACGCCTGCGGGTTAAAAACTTCGATCTCACGCCGGCTCACGCTTGCGGGCCAATTTCTCACGCCTGATTGAAAAATGTGAGTTGTTGCCGTCTTGCTTGACACAATTCCCAAAAATATGTTAACTCAGACCCATGTAAAACCATGTGTAAAATGAATAAATGACAATACCTTCCTCGCGATCTCTGATTTTTGAAGTGAAAAGCACTGGGAGCGAGCTCGCGTTTATACGCGTCCTAAGACTGGGACTCGATAACTTTGCCTTCGGCAGACTTCGGACGTCTTCGGAAGTCTTCGGAATTATTCGGAAGACCTCGGACTTCTTCGGAAATCTTCGGAAATGATCGTGTCGTCTTCAAAAATCCCAGCACTCCCAGGATAAAAATCTCATGCTTATATCTCAGAAAAAGTTGGCAGGTATAAGTACGTGAGGAAAGTAAGTCAGTCAGTCAGTAAGTACAAGTACAGTAAGTAAGTTAAGTTAAGCAAGTAAGTAGACACTTGATTTAGTGAGTTGATTTAGTGAGGGTAACACTAAATAGCTAAACGCCCTTTCCAAACTTGTGGCCCTCTGTATAATTAAATAAATTAATCTAAAACTGAATTTAGCAGGACTAAAGGAATATCCCCTTTACCTTGACAGGTTCTTGTTCCTGCTTCTCTGTGGACTGTGATTCACCGTTTGTTGTTGAGCTTGATGCTCCTGAGGCTGCAGTGGCACTTGATGAAGAGCTGCGCTCAGAAGCTGTGCTGCTGGTATTAGCAGAAGAAGATGTAGTTGGATTAGAGCTGGATTGTTGAGCTGCTGGTTGTTGTGCTTGAAGCTCACTCATCTGTGGGCTACAAAATCCATTTATTTTGCAGTCAACAATTTAAAGACAGCAAGAAAGAATGGGGGACTACTGACCAGCAAGTACCGTAGTATAAACTCGAATAAACACAACAGATGGAAGCAAATTAATGACCATTACATGCCCCCCTCAAAATTTAATTTGGTGCTCCATTTTGTTAAAAGTACCACAATACATGTAAATATTCTCAGTAGTGGTTGAGAAAATTTCAGTTTCAAGTTTCCATACCATCTGTTGAAGATAGCTGGGACATGGTGCTTAGCAATTGACTGGAATTTCCTCACAAACACCTCTAACATTCGCATAAGAATTTCTCGTCCCTAAAAAAAACACAAGAAGATGAGAAGTCATTTTTAGATAGACCTTCAAAACCAAAGAGGAAACACAATTTATCAAGCAAACAGTGTCATCAAATCATTATAGTGTACATACTGTTCCCTGTTCATCACTCTTCTGTCTAATACACTCCACAAGATTCAAAAGGAGCTAGAAATTTGAAAAGAAGCATAAAATATTAAAATACCGGTAATTATTATCCAACAGAGTCCAACAGACAATAAAATTAATAGCAATGATGATTTTGATGAGAACAGTGGTGCAGGATCCAATTAACTTTTTTATACGTGAGCCAACCAGTGACTGGTTTGGTTTCACGAAGTGTCTGTAAAATTTTTCCTTAACAGCAAAACACAAAGAAACAAAGCAAAGACATTTTTAATACTCATGAACGAAGGCAAAAGTCACTGAGATATCTATGTAAAAAAGGCATTAAAAGATCATGTAGCTTAGGCATTTTAGTTAAAAAGGACTTTTTGTTAAATAGATAGCTCTCTTAGTTTGAGGATTGAACATCCTGTAATGCGACCACCTTTCCACGTACAAAGCCTTAGCAAGCAGTTACGTGCAAAGCTCGCCGCCATGTTGCTCATAACAGGTCACTTCAGAACAAAAGTGTTCAAACCTTCCGACAGCAGTGATTTCGTTCACCAGTACAATGTAAACAGTCAATACTTGTAAGATTTTCTTTTTTTTAGAAATATTATTTTCTGTGGAGATTAAAAACTTCGACAAATTAAGGGGTAAGTTTCTTCTTGAAATAAAACGCAAAACATTAAACAAAACTAATTCCTTGAGCGCCAGTTAAAAACATTGACAAGGCACTGAAAGTTAGTTCTAGCGACTAGCCTTAAAATTCTGGTCTGCCATGGCAGAGGCAATAACAATCAGGGTGAATCTACTGAATGTTTGCTGCAATAAGGTGTAGCATGGAGACTTGCATACTTTACTTGCATAAATATTTTACCTTGCATGACATTGTCTGAATGCTGACAGGAAGTGAGTCATCATGGACATTCTTAGAGAACATGTGGACAGCCAATGACAGATGAGGGAGTGGAAGATGAGTGCGCACATGGTGGACCAGGTCAGCAAGAGTGCTGTAAGCTAAGGGACGCAATGACTCCTTGGTTGTCCAGCCCTTTCCAATTAACACTTCTTCATCAAACAACTGGTCAATGTGAGGAACAAATCCTGTAGAAAAGGCATGGAATGACTTGATAAAAGGCTGGAAAGATTTTAACAGATGATGCCCACCATCTGAGTGTGTGTATTCTTTCATACTACTGGACATGTGTAGCTGCAATCCTAGATTTATGATGCTTCCATCCTGTGTTATTCTTTGTTATTGTTCAGTGGTTCTTTGCTTCTGTTTTGTGCAGCAGAAGGAACTCAGTTTTAAACTTTAGAAAGTAAGAGTGAAAATGGGGAAAACAGCGAAGGATGCCTCATTATCTTGTATCATCAAAATCCCTGGCCCCTACTATAAGTCCAACCTTTGAGTAATTACATGTAAAATCAGGAAATTTTTTAATCACTGATGAATCACTGGCTGAGCTGGTAGGGGGGCCTGGGGGGTTTTCCCCTTAAAAAATTTTGAAATCTTGATGCTCTAAAAAGCCATTTTCAGCGTTCTGAGAGGACGATTTGGTCTTAAATGTTCGCTAAATTGCACAAATCGATTGCCATTTTTTTTGCTTATTTTTATTTACATGTCTTCTTGTATAAATACTCAAATTTAATTTATATTTTGTGCGTTTTTCTAAGTTTCCTGGACACCAATTTTAGTCAAGTACACTCTGTTAGATGTTCATGTATGAACATCATAAGAATTCATCTGAAAAATATCAGATCAAATATCAAAATTGAGATTACCCATCCCCATTGTATATTGGTTGGCATTCGAGATTTTCAAGCCAAACCGGGAGAATCCCGACAAAATCGGGATAGTTGGACGGTCTGATGACTAATTTCCTACCCATTCTGCTTTACCCTACTTGCACCGACCTCTCACCCAATCAAAATCCCAGAATTACCACTGCATCAAACATTCAAAATTATCACTTATCCTTCCACTTACTATTTCTTAGATCTGTAGCCAAAATGTGTCGGGCTGCAATCAGTAACTCCTTTCTCAGATGGGCGACTTCTTGTGGACAGTACCGCAAAAGACCCAGCATTCCACCAACCATGTTCTGTGAGTAGGTATTGACCATGTCTTGATAAATCCTGATAATGTACGCTAGGAAAGATAGTGTCTTGATCTGTGCCGCAACAAAGTCTACATACACTTCTTTATTGAAAGTTGGAGATTTCCTGGAAATTGAAAATTTGTTTACAATAGTCCAGGTTTGACACAACAAATGTAATGAACATCTAGTGCTTCATAACTTGTCACAAAATTAATGTCAACCCGCATTTCTTCAGTTCTCACCTTGCAGTAAGGGACGGCTGCAGAATGATTGTGTTCATTATCAGTGGGATGAAGTCAGCCACAACACTGTGTACATTCTGTTTGTATAACTGCAAAAGAAAACAGAATAATAGTTTTTTTATAGTTGTGATCGTCAATAACAACTACATCAACAGAACTAGGACAGGTTGTTATAATGATGGATAGCACTATCCACTGGAAAAATCACTATCCACTGGACAAGCATAAGATAAGATAATTTATTTAATGTCAGATACACAGGGGGTGGTCTCCCAATCCCCCGAGCCATGGGCTCATGATAAAAGTGTTTGANCACTGCATCAAACATTCAAAATTATCACTTATCCTTCCACTTACTATTTCTTAGATCTGTAGCCAAAATGTGTCGGGCTGCAATCAGTAACTCCTTTCTCAGATGGGCGACTTCTTGTGGACAGTACCGCAAAAGACCCAGCATTCCACCAACCATGTTCTGTGAGTAGGTATTGACCATGTCTTGATAAATCCTGATAATGTACGCTAGGAAAGATAGTGTCTTGATCTGTGCCGCAACAAAGTCTACATACACTTCTTTATTGAAAGTTGGAGATTTCCTGGAAATTGAAAATTTGTTTACAATAGTCCAGGTTTGACACAACAAATGTAATGAACATCTAGTGCTTCATAACTTGTCACAAAATTAATGTCAACCCGCATTTCTTCAGTTCTCACCTTGCAGTAAGGGACGGCTGCAGAATGATTGTGTTCATTATCAGTGGGATGAAGTCAGCCACAACACTGTGTACATTCTGTTTGTATAACTGCAAAAGAAAACAGAATAATAGTTTTTTTATAGTTGTGATCGTCAATAACAACTACATCAACAGAACTAGGACAGGTTGTTATAATGATGGATAGCACTATCCACTGGAAAAATCACTATCCACTGGACAAGCATAAGATAAGATAATTTATTTAATGTCAGATACACAGGGGGTGGTCTCCCAATCCCCCGAGCCATGGGCTCATGATAAAAGTGTTTGACAATATAAAAGAAAAATTAATTAATTAATATCTCAATAGCAGCTAATTAAATAAAAAAAAATAACATCTATCTATAAAAATAAATCGGGTCAAAGGCAACAGCTGCATTGACAGCCGATAAAATTTAACTTAGTTAAAAGCAATATAGAAACCAATTTCGCTATCCACTGGATAGATTTTGTCAGAGTTGAAAGCATTATCCACCTTGCCAACAACTGGGGCCTGGATAATAAGCCAGCAATACCAGAGGTAGCAACTAAACAGTCTACCCAAATTACACCATTAAAACCTTAAACCCATTTTCTGAAGTGACTCAAAGACCAACTGAACACTGTAAAGCTACAAAAGACTGAATGTTACATGCATTAAACATTGTACTCACTATCTGTCTTCGCATTGGTAAAGAGCCTACAGTTGATTTTGGAAATCCACTCAACCTACAGATTAGTCAGTTATCGGCTAGCAAATCTATATTACATAAAAGTGAATAATCTGTAGATTGCATACACAAATTATTATTTCTGAGAGCAACGTCATATTGACAGTGTGTTTGATGTTATTTTCTTCAAAACAATGTACAATAAAACAATTGACAGATTCAGTTTTTGTGATATCCTAGATAATCAACATCCCAATAAGTGTTATCAGCCTCAGCTCAGCTGATAACACTTCCCACCACCTTGATTATTCTGGATATCTAATCACAAAAACGTCATCCAATAATAAACAATTAAAAATAATCAACAATTATTGTTTATTATCGGAGCTACAAGAAGAGTGTAGTTACTGCCTGGAAAATACCTGTGGCCAGCAGGATGACCATAAAAGTCTTTCAAATAAGTCCAAAGGTGATTTATTACTTACCTGATACATTAAAACCACGATGATTGGTAACTCAGCCAAGACTTTCAGTGAGTTTACTGCCTTGGGAATTGTGGTCTGAAAAAGGCAAACACAACACCACAAAAATAAATAAATATCCTCTAGCATACATAAATAATCATTTTTACCCATCTGTGATAAAACTATAAAAAATATCATCATGCCGAACATACAAACCTGTTGAGAACTTTTTCCGCTTCCCACATCTCCAGTATTCAGGGGCGAGGTGGTAGATGCGGCTCCAGTGCTTAACCCAGGGTTAGTGATGGTGGGAGTGGTGGCACCAGCATTGTTCTCAGCTGGTAAAAACCCAGTGGCTGATATTGGNTTCAGTGAGTTTACTGCCTTGGGAATTGTGGTCTGAAAAAGGCAAACACAACACCACAAAAATAAATAAATATCCTCTAGCATACATAAATAATCATTTTTACCCATCTGTGATAAAACTATAAAAAATATCATCATGCCGAACATACAAACCTGTTGAGAACTTTTTCCGCTTCCCACATCTCCAGTATTCAGGGGCGAGGTGGTAGATGCGGCTCCAGTGCTTAACCCAGGGTTAGTGATGGTGGGAGTGGTGGCACCAGCATTGTTCTCAGCTGGTAAAAACCCAGTGGCTGATATTGGCACAACTTCAAAGAATTGTTTCTAAAAAATAAAGAAGAAAGACTGCTTCATTTTGCTGTTTATTTTGTTGGTTTAGAAAACACCGAAAACAGATTTCCAATCACACTGTCTTGTAAACATGGAGTACTTGAATGTGTAGATCATCATACCACATTTGTTGGTAAATCTTTGTAAATTGTCTTCACAAATTGTAGAAAATGCTGTATCTGTAAAGATAATAATAATAATAATAATAATAATATATTAGTGGATACTTATCCCCTCCAGCTGTACAAAACAAAGCTGTTTTTAACTTGCATAACTCGGATACACGTTAAACTACTGTGTAGAAGACAAAGTTTAGTGATATACATTGTAAAATAGCTGGCTTGTAAGAACTGCTTCAAAATTAAATGATTCACCAATTATACTGCATTTAAGATTGTTTTACGGTCCTAGTGCTTTGAGAAAAAAGGGTCATGAGGTTCTTATTGATCACCCACATCTGGTTTGAACAACAGCAGAGAGAAGAGTCCATGAAAGAATCCAGTTTAAGATCAAAGCAGCTTTTTACCGCAACCATCACTCATGGTTGTTACTACCAATTTTTTCCCTTCTGTTCTTTCTGTTGCAAATGAATATGAACGATAATAATAATTGACCACAAAAATATTCTTAACAAATTTGATAATGATAATAAAACACTGTTCAACAGGGAAATACATCGTGAGACGACTACTTATTATAAAATGGTACTTATGTTCACGATTATGTAAGAATTATTTGACATAATACTATACTGTACCTCAGACTGCAGTGGTGGTCTGAACTGCTTGTGAAGCTCAATAATGATTCTTAAACAAACTAACACGTTCTCTTCATTTTCAATCTAATGAAGTGAAAAAGAATTAACCAAAATATTTTTAATAGAAAATAGGGGTGCAAAGCAAGGCAAGGCTACATGTACAACCAGATGCAAAAATAGTTGAGACCATGTACCGTGTTTCGACTTTCAGTACAGAGCCCAAAAGTCTGACTGCTTTTAATTTATTCACATTCTTTCGTGCAGATTTAATCCAATCAGGTCCAGCTGGCAACTGTCCTCGAGTTCTGATTGTTTAATTCCTTATGTGAATCAATTAAATGAGGTCACACTTTTGGGCTACTTGCCGTAAATGACCAGTCCATTATCTTTAGCATGTGATCCTCCCCTCCCGTTTTTTCCAGTGTTCTTCTTATCAGGCGGTAACCAGTACAATTTACCGCTTGAAGCAACACTTCTTACCCATGCAACCACTTGAAGTGTTACTAAAATCAAATAAGTTGTTTCAAAAGTACGCAAGTTGTGATCCAAGCCGATGCTCACAAGAAAAGGAAGTAAATACAGAAAAAAGAGAGAGTATGATCCACAGCTATTCACTCTGATTACTTAATTTAAATGCTTACTGGTACATTTCAAAGCACTGCAGGTAACAATTTTTTCAGGGGTTTCAGTCTTAATTCTAGACTTTCTTGACCAGCAAGAAAAGTATGTGACTTCCATGACTTGTGTTACTAAATTGACCGTAGTGGTAAGGGCAGCCTTGATTCATGGCATTCTTTGTTCTGAGGCACTTAAAATACTTTTCGGTCAACAATTGGTTGATAGGATGTTCGAGAATAAAAGCCTTCATGATCGCGCGCGACATGCTACAGTGACATCAAGAGTGACTCAACATTAATTTTTGTTGCACCTGGATGTACATGTACAGTAGCATTACAGTGTAGCTAGAAGAAGGAATTCTTTCCCTTGTAGTCTTACATTGTACTTCAGTAACTGTTAAATTTTTGCAGGAGCTTACATACATTGTATAATTCAAACAGATAGCTACATGTAATAAAGTTCAAATAAAGTAGATGGGGAAAACTGCCCCATTTCTAAATTCATTACAGTACTTTGAATTGGATCATTTTACATTACTATTATTCAGAGGAATAGTTTTTGTATATTAAAGCACGATCACGCGTTAAGTTCTGTTATAAACATACATGCACGTACACTGTACTGCTTACCTCAAGCAGATAAAACATCAGAGAAAGTATGGACTATAAAAAAAAGAAACAGGGATGTATAAGTCTGTTATTTCTCATCCTTGAAATTAGTAAGTTTTCTCCTTAAGCAATGGTTCAAAATTGCCACACAGACAAGCAACATTTGTAGAGTCCTGAATTTGTGAAAATTATGGGATTTTGGGGGGTAATATGAAAGTACAACATCCAAAAGGCCTACTTGCCAAAAATTAGCATTCCTGGGCAGATTGCCTTTGAGATATTAGCCCAGTTATTCTTTGATGACTCAGTTCATAACATTGGGAACCAAGTCAAATTTAGAAGGATTTGTATGGAGTCATCAGAGCAAAACAGGACTAGTACTGGCTAGACAATTTGCCCCACAACGCTAGTTTTTGGCAAGTACACGTTTCAGATGTTGTTCTTTTAAACTATCAAACTATCCCAATTTCAAATATTTACATGTAAGTTTTTTTTTACTTTATTAGAACTCCATACTTACCTGGAAGTGAGGTCTCAAGTGATCATTAGTAGGAATACGATGAAGAATCTCAAGCAATAGTTTTCTCAGTTGCTAAAAAAGAAAAAATAAAGAAGGATAAAAAAAGCAATAATTTTATAATAAATAATTATTATTCATGGGGAAATTTGGTAATAGATCCAAGATTACCAGAGTACAGACGAATATCATCATAAATTATTTATGTCTTGTCATTTTAGAGGAACAATATTAAGTTAACATAATTGCTTGTGTTTGGTGTTCAGTTGTAGTTTTAGTTGCTGTAGTTTAAAGTACAGTGGAGCCTCCATTGATGGCCATCTCTCCACAACGGTCAATTTTTTTTGTCCCGGCTGGCAAACAGTCCATACATCAACTCTGGTTTAAACTTCTCTACAATGGCTGCCTCTTTATAATGGCCACTTTCTCCAGTCCCCAAGGTGGCCATTGTGGAAACATTCAACTGTAACTTGGTGTAGTTGGGAAAGTTTAATTTGGTGGAGTTGTTGTAGTTGCTGTAGTTGGGGAAGTTGCTGTTAGTTTAGTGTAGATGGTATAGTTTAGTTGCTGTAGTTTGGTGTTCACGTTACCATACCTGTGCTGGAACTTCTGCAACAAACTGTGGTTCTCCTGAATTAAGAAGTATAATAAGATTAACACTAAATATATTTTTTTTATTTTTAGCTGCAATTCATGTCACTGCTCCCTTTACAGCAATAAAACGAATAAGATTTAATTTTAGTGCTACATGTCAGAAGTTAATCCTCTCTCAACGAAAAACAGACAACTTGTAAGTAATGACTATTAACAATGTTTCTACAGAGGCTGACTGCCTTGCTATTACATGTACCTGGCTACGGGTACAAAATTAGGTCTATGTTACAAGTTAAAAATTTTAACATGAATTTTCTTTTGACCCGTAACATCTGCATGTAAAAAAATTCAAGCATGAATTTTTCAGGTTCTTTTTCAACTGCTTAGGTTGTTCATTCAACTAAGAGGATCATGTTCACTTTTATATCTTTATCAGCAGTTCAAAATTTGAATCATTTCATAAAGTTATTTCAATTCATGTTGTTCTTCTTACCTTCCCTAAGGTATTGTAAAAATCTTGGTATTGAGTGTTCAAGGAATGCTGAATAACTTGATGACTGTACAATACTCTGTGGAAACAAAAATTTTAAATAATGAAAAACTGTGCGCCAGTGCCAGGACTGCAAATAACAGTCAGTATCAGACATTGCCAGACCAAAATTTGCAAGTGTCCAATAAAATTCCAGCTATGTTTGCACTTCATGTCTGGAAATTTTTTTCAACATAGTGTGTACATGTCCCCTTGCACTTTTTGTGCTGGCAAAATCCTGTTTCCCTTCCCTTTAGAAAGACTACCACCCAAGTTACAGAGTAGTAGTCAGAATGCGTCTGAAGATAAAATTGCATTATTCATTACATGACAAAAGTTTCTGCCCAAAAATTAAACGGCCTGTTTCATAAGGGTTAACACCGCCATTCAGTAGTTTATCTGTACAAGCTTTGATCGTGAGGATGTAATAGCTCAGTAATTTTAACTTGGATATTAAGTTCAACCTTTTAATCGGTGATGTCCAACCAAAATTTTGTTTTGTCCTACCAAGATGGTGTCTTAGAAGGACATTTCTCCTTTTAAGAGAAAGTGTACAGGACTGCCACTAAGATTTCAGGTAAGTGGTTATATGCAGCTAGTACAGACAGGAAATTAAACAGCTAGGAAGTCTTTTGTTTTTTATTTTCTCTTTGGTTTCCTATAAAAGTACCCAGGAACAACAAGATGTTAATTGAAAACTATCATAACCATTCATAATGAACAAAACAATCATGATATTAAATTTGTAATCAATGCATTGCTATAAAAACACTTATGATTGAAGTGCATCAATAGTTCCATGTATCGACGTTGCACAATTATTTAAAGTACATGTACTTTTAGCTGATGCCATAAAGACCAGTAAGAAGCTCTGTGAAGGATCACGGAGCAAAAACTGTTAAATCATCTTGTTCTAATTAATGAGACTGTCAAATACATGTTCCACAAATTAAACCTACAAAGGTTTACAAACCTCAAAGTTTTCACTGATTTCTTGGGCAGCTTTTAACTTTTTATCTTCAGCTAAAGGCAAAGAAGTGGACAATTTTTTTACAAGAAGGGGAAGCAAAGTGTGAGCTGGAAACCTAAATCAAGGACTGATGTGTGCAAGTGAAATACAATAACAGTCGTCATTAAAAACTGAATCATTGGATAATGCAATTCTAGAGCTCTGATTGGCTTAGCCATCATGGTATATGAGCCATCATACCATGTTCTCCAAATATGGTAACTGTGTGCATCTGCTCAAAATTAAAAACAAGCTGAAAGTCAGTTGTTTATACAAATAAAGTCAGGAATAATTCTTGATATTTTGAAGGCGTTTTTAATAAAACAATAAATTATTCCACTTACGCTTGTTGGATATAAGATGTTTATAGCCAACTCATATCCAATGCGCATTCATGGAATAATTGTTAAATATTTAATGAAGAAAATATACATGTAGATTTGCCCTCTACCCTCTCAGAAAACTGATGACTAGGTTTGATAGGTGCTAGTTTTACCCCCCCCCCAACCCCCTACCTCCTATCCCACTCCCGTATCCACACCTTTGCCCCCTTCACCCTCTGTACTCACGCATAGAGGCCTCTGTTAAGATGTTAGTATATGTAGTAAACATCTTGACAATGTTTGTTGGCCCAGACTCTTGGGGAGATGTCACAGAAGCAGGACTTGAAGAAGACATTTTTGACTATCTGTTAAAAAAAAGAAAAACATTTACTGTCTTACTGTGGTATATAAATGTATTTTGTTGTTCAATTTTATCCTTGGTTCAAATTTTATTTGCCTTTGTTTTGAGGTATGCTAATATATGTTAATGAATTTAATGAATTTAAAGGGAAATAGAATTTAAACCAAGGATAAAATTGAACCACAACATATACTGTTACAGGTCAAATTTATTTTTAGGTATGGTAATGTATGATAATGAGTTTGAAACACAGAAAAATAAAAAAAGTGAGTCAAGGATAAAATTAAATTACAACTTAAATGTTGTAGTTAATTTTTCATCCCAGGTAATTTTTTACTTTTCCTTTGTTTCAACTTCATTAGCATACATTAAAAATGTTTGGGAGAAACTGTCTACAAATAAGATAAAAGAGAAAAACAAGAAGCAGCAATGAAACGTAGCAGTTTGTGACATGGAAAAAGCTCAAACTGGCAGAGAATCCTCGAACAGTCAGTCCATATGAGGCAAGTTTGTTGTTTTTCCTTTTCTGTTCAACATATAAAACAAATAGATTCCATGTCGGCATGCGTCTGTTCAATAATAGATTATAAAAGATATCAAAATGTGGTTAAACATCAGTGACACATTTTGCGCCACCAGTGATCTATTACTGAACAGACGTATGTAGCAACATGGAATCTACTTGTTAAACAGATGAACAACTTTTTACCAACCCAGATGTAACAGTCACTTTCCATTCCTCTGATCACTACATTTCTATACAGTTTAAAAGATTAACTGCCTCTGTTTTTACTTGTGCTTGGATCACAAAATGTACTTGAATATAGGATATATATCACGCTTAGATTGGAAAATACTTGCCATTGGCTGAAATACAACAATTAGCTCTTCCACACCGTTGAAATTAACTTTGAGAGTTTATTAGCGAATGACAAAAGTGTGAATGAAAACGTATTTAATATTTCTCTAACTTATTTTCTTATGGTTGTGGCTTAACTGTGCTGGGAGTTATCTAAACACAAATGTTTCAAAGTTGATCAAGTACCCGATGGCGGAAAACAATTTTAATAAATAATCTAATGCAACGGCAGACTAACTATTTCACGCAAAAAGTGCAAAGCACTGTGCATGCAGCAAGCACTGACAGAGACAGTGGCCATCGAAAATCAAAAGATCTTACGATGATCGATCCACGTCTAAAATACACCTAAATTAACTAAGTTATGACAAACAGACACAAAAGAGGAAAAAAGCGATTCATTACCTTAGTTAACGCAGAATAGTTAGAGCACCAAGACTTTAATCCTAAACCTCGAAAGTATGCGTTCGTCCATCTTTGTTCCCGCTTCTCCTTTAACGGTGCAACTTACATGAAGTAGTGACACTTTGCAGACCGTCAAATTTGACGGTCTTGTTGTGCGCTTGCGTCATGAAATCATCCGCTGTCTTGTAATTCGCTGGCGCACTTACATGTGAGTCAATAATTTCCACAATTTTTCACGATCGCTTATGTCTGGTAAAATTTATCTTTATCTGTAGACAGGGCTCTGTTCTCAGACATGGCAAAAAACAAGAGGAAAAGAAAACTCAAAGAGCAGGACTTTCAAAAAGTGAAGCTGAAAGTTGGAAAGAAACTGCAACCTGCACAGAATGCCACAGACACTTCGTTCAAGTCGAGATCGATATTCATTCCAACTCAACTTCAGAAAGACTTGGAGCCTACAAATCAAAGAAATCAAACCCTCAAGGTAAAATGGAGCTTAAGTGTATCGGCAAGTCAAAAAAAGTTAAAGAAAGTGAGACCTACTGGGTGCGCAATTATTGTAATGTTGTGCCGCATAGCACTGTGAAACGAAGATTTCTCTTCTTACCTTGTTAAGGTCCCCTAATTCCCTTCACAAAGACTATAAACACTCATTGGAGTTTATAACTCATTTTTAGCCTCTGCTAGTGTTCACAGTTGAGGGGAAGGGGAGTGTACTCCTTGGCAGGGTTTTCATTAGGAATTAATTCCAGTAGCGGGAGAAAGGTGTAACATTACAAGAGAATATTTTGAAAGAGGCTCCATATCTGAATAAAAATGAGCCATAATCAGCCAAACATTTGCCAGAGAATTCTGCATACTTAATGGGGACTCCACGACCTAATGAACACCCTGCCTTGGAATTCCTTGTATAGTTTTGCTGCCCAGCTCCCGAAACCCTGACCATATGTCAGGCCAAACTGTGCAATTTTCCACATCCATTTTTAGATGTAGCAGATGTATAATGCAGAATGGTAGATATAGAATAGATATAGATATCAAATTTTCAAGTAGACCGATTGCTGCCATCTGTTCACTGCAATAATGTTATTTCATTTGTAAAGCACAAGTCTGCTCAAGGCAGATTTTAATCATCTGGCCCTGGTTGTTCAAACGTCGGATAGTGCTATCCACCGGATAAATCACTATCCAGCAGGTAAGTATTGGGGAAACCACTTGCACTATCCACTGGATAGAGATTTATCCGGTGGATAGCGCTATCCAGCCTTTGAACAACCAAGGCCTGCAAAATGGTAATCTTTATTCTTGACTTTGACACTAATAAAGACCAAAGACTCTTATAGGAGTTTTTGGACACCATTGTGGACCAGGTTTTGTCAAACATTGTCCAACAACAGACTGTAGACAGGCCACATAAGCTATGACATGCTGCTGAAGAACAAAAATTGTATTTTTTTCATAGGACTTGCTTGCACAAGTTGGTCATTACAGTGCGACAACAAGACAGGAAGCACTTGTTGGTCTGAAAGATCTCTTTCAGTGTCATGAGTATCTCCTTGAAGATAATCTGGGAATTATTATTAAACGGGTTGCAGAGAGAATGACAGACAATGAACCATCTGTAAGACAGTCACTTCTTCTGTTGCTCTGCTTTATATTCCCAATGGTACCACAAGAAAGAATGGCCCCATTTTCCTCACTTATCATAGCTCATTTGAGCTGTGCCATGACCCATATTTATGATGACATCCAGCATGATTCACTGGGTTTTCTGGAGCTATGCCTCCGATACTTTCCAAATTTCATGGTGACAAGTTCAGTGCAGTTAATTCACAACTTCGTCGGTATGATTTCACATCAAAGTTCCCCTGGGGGGAAGAAGTCGAAAGGATTGCAACTTGCAGGTGGAAAAGGACTCTCTGTGAATCCAAAAGGGAAGCTTTCTTCTCTTAGGTCACGCTTGAAAGTGTTGCAGCAGTTACTTGCATTCTTAAAAGCTCTGGAATTATCATCAAATCCTTGTCAAGAAAATAGCACCTTTTGTTCCAAGAAAAATGGCTTGTCTACTAGAAAACCTATTTTTTATTTCAGTAGAACCCAACCAACACAAGTTCAAATATTACAACATTCTGTTGATGAGCCCAAATGTCTACCATTTCATCTGGATGACAGTTCAACATTAAGTCAATCACCAACGGGGATTGACGGTAAATCCAATATCTTGACTGATGAAGAACAAGCAAAGGACTTTATGGAGATAATTGTACCCTTGTTATTGGAGTGTTGGATCGAGTGCAATCCCGCTGAAATGACAACTGGCCTACAAGACAGCGTGTCTTCATCAGCCATTGATGTGATGCTGGCCATAGTGGAAATTCTCAAAGTTGTCTTGAAAGCATCACAGAACAATCAATGGAAGATTTGCAGAATTTCTGAGCACAAATCAGTTGTCATTTGCTGGTATGATAAATATCTGAAAGATCTCAATCACCATTTTATGACCTACTTTCCATTTACAGCAAATCCGACACCGTCATTCAAGAAAGGAAAGAGAAAACTTGGAAAGTCATCTCAGCAAGTTGAAGGTGAAAACCACAGTGCATCAGTTTTGACCTTGAACCTTATCATTTGTGAGATTATGCTGCAGTTTTTGAGCAATGGTGTCGCTTCACAGAAGAAACTCCAACTGTCAGTCAAGAAGTTGGAGGAGTTTGTTATTGAATCCTTGCAGTTGAAGGCCCTAGGAGGTGACAAGGCACAGTTGCTTCAGACAGAGCATGTTGAGAGTCTTGTCAAATTTGCAGAGAAGATTATTACCCATCGCTGCTCCAGTGATCAAAAAGGTAATTCATGCAGACAGTGGGGATTGGAAGAAACACACTGAATCAATACCATGATCCTCCAGAAAAATTTAAGTAGAAGGAGGAAAACATTAAGTAGGAATTGGGGGGGACGGGGCTCATATGAGTGCAACACCACGATTGCTTCCAGACTACCCTGCTTTTAAGTATTCCATCTGACTTTTGTAGTCTCACTTCTTGCATTGTGCTTAAATTTTAGACAGAATTAGATAGATGACTATGACTGGGTAGATGACTGCAGGGAAGGCAGGGAGTTGAAAAACGTTTGGTTTGTTGTTGTTGTTGTTGTTGTTTTTCTGTTAAAGCAGGCAGGTTTCATGCTTATAATATAGTTGCCAGAGATTATCTCCAGCCACTTGCCTTAAGTGACAGGCTATCTAGTTCATGAAACACTTGCCACTTGAACTTTTCTGGTTTCTTAAGTGCCCAAAATCAACCAACATGTTCAAGGAAAAATCAACTTAAAAGTATTGTTGCAAAGTTTTCACTTAAATGGTGACATCACAGATTTTTTTCACAAGCTCAAAAGTTACAGCTACATCACATTTCTAATGTAATCAACTCTATGTGGAAAATCAAAGGTAATAGATCAGTCACATTAAAGTGCCCCTGACCCTTCAATTTGTTTTCTTTTGGTAGATTTCCATATCCTTTAAGAATTCATTTTCGAAAAAAATTTTCAGAAATATTGAATCCTTTTTTTTATGAGCACTAAAAGTGAAGGCAGTCTTGTCGATATTTTCACCTATCGTTCACATTAGTCCCCCACTTGGCCAAATGTGTCCAAATATGGGGCGTGATGTAAGAAAAGGACATTGTGCAAAAATATGCGAAGATTTGCGGTAATGCTTTATTGTTAAACAGAGAAAATGGTTGAAAAATGTGTGGTTTTTGGATGCAGCAACTCTCGAAATAAAGAGAAAGGAATCAGCATGCATACGATTCCTTCTGATCTTCGATCGCACTATACTTTCAATGCTTTGTGCTTTGGAGTGGCGTCCTTTTCTTACGTCACAGCTAAAAAAAAATATGGTCGATTATCGGACCCTTCTCACTGGCTCTTTCCTAATGAGTCCACGAGACAAAAATTTTTCCAGCCGGGCTTAAGGTATCATCCAGGGTAAAAACCCATCATTTTTCGAAATTTTCAATTTTTAGATGATTAAGTAGAGCTCATCAAGAGCTTTCTTTTAAAAAAAATTCCAGAAAAAAATGTTTTTTCTGTCCAGACTTATGGAGCGCAAAATTTTTTTCTATGCTAATTGTTTTAATTGATCGTTGACAAGTCCTGTCATACTTGATATGCATGCCGCTGTTGAACCAAGCTAATCACGCAATTTGACAGAAATCGTGGTCTACAAGTATAGTGCTCACTGTTTTTCCCTGGAATTTGGAAGTGAATGCCTCCAAAGAAGAAAAAAGAGCTTGTCCGTTTTCGTCCTTGACTCCAAGACGAAAGAAGACGACAAAATCGTTTTGCAAAGTGTGGGTTTCGAAATTAGCAGAGAGTGACAAGGGCTCCTACTACAATCAAGAAAAATGGCTAAAAGATGACAAAGCTTCTGAAAAACCCATTGAAACTACCGCGAAATTGAGTTTCACGAGTTTTCTCGAAATGAAAATCAGAGCAAGTTGAGGGTACGTTTTAAACTCCAAGTCGGCAACCCGTGAACCAATTTGGCTGAAATTTGGCCAACTTACTGTCAGATAGTTTTTCTAAAAAACCGTGTCTGCGAATTTTTTTTTTTTTCGTTTTCGAGTAAGAGTATTTTTTTCACAGGTAGTGCTAATGATTTGCTACCCCTAACTTCAACTGCTTATAACAAAAGAACAAAACCACTTGACAAAAATCTGAGACGCGGTTTTTCAGTCAAACGTGTTAAGAAGCGAATGCGATCTTAATTGGCTTCTTCCGTTTATTTTTGGCTGGCCTGGACTTAAATTTACAGCGACACCCACTTTCACAAAAAGCTTCTCATTTCTGAATCGCGTTAATATTTTGATTTTTTAAAAGGAATAAGCAATAATCTGGAACTATTAAGCTTTCAGAAAATGTACGGTTTATGGGGGTATTTATTAAAAGCAAAAGCGCTAGCGCCGATCAACGCAGGGAGGGTGCTTGAGGGTGGATGATACCTTAAAGTGCGCAAAAATTTAAAAAATTTCAGTAACTTTTAGCGTTCGTGAAAAAAAAGGATTCAATATTTCTGAAAAAAAATTTTCGAAAATGAGTTCTTGACAGATATGGAAATCTACCAAAAGAAAAACAATCAAAGGGTTAGGGGCACTTTAAACAGTAACTTGTGTCTCCTCGCATTTGAAAATTAATTAATCATCCTTACAATATTTATAGTACTTGCATACATTATTGGAAAGTAAGTGAGGGGTCAAAAGAGGCCATTTTATAATGTATAAAACTCTGCAGACGTTTAATGTTTAGGTGTATTTTCCCATCTTATTTTCCTTTCAGAACATGACTGTGGCATTGTCAAGGAATTACTTGATGCAAGTTTTGTCTTGTACCAATCAAGCCATATCATGTCTGGGACCAAGCAGGTGCTGATGATGTTTTTTGCTAACCTTGCATTCTCTGAGAACCTCAGTTTGTCAAGGTAAACTTGGGAGCACTTTCACTTCTAATAGCAGCAGAAGAAAATTTATTTCTTTTGTAAAATCCTAAAAAGTTAACATTGCTCTGCAAATTGGCTGCAATAAGGGTTTCATTTGAATGGTTAACCCTTTAAGCCCCAATATCCACATACAAATTCTCCAAACTGATCTTCATACATCTCCTTTAAGAATTAGTTGAGAGAATTTGATAAAAGATCATGGAAGTTTCTCTATGATGATCATTTTATTAACTCTCATAACTTTATCTCTGGACAGTGTATGGATATTGTTAGGAGAAAATTGTTGTTGGTCACTATTGACACTTAAAGGGTTAAACACCACAGGATTCACTAAGTTAATTATAAAAGATGACAAATGAAAATAACTTTGTCATGATGTTGTCTATAAGTAAAAGGTTAAAAAGTGTCAAGACTAATCTTACTTTGCTAAATGCGAGAAAACATCTCCCTTTGTACCAACACTTCTATACTACAGATGCCTCCCTGTTACAGGTGAGAATCAGAAAGAGAAAAGTCCAAGTAAGGCTTAAATTTGACTGATGATTCTCTTACAACAGGAATAAGGCGCTGCATGAATTGATTCAGAGATGGCTTGATGGTTTGCCAAGTTTGTTAGTGCAGCTTAAAAACAACAGTCCTTCCCTCACTGAACTTATTCTTGGCATCCTGAAGAAAGCTCTGATGCAAAAACGTTTGATCCCGGAGAGCAACTTTTTTCAATATTTGGCTACATTTTTCTGTAAGTAGTGTTACACTCTAAGCTTTATTTAACCTAAAAATTTGTGACACAGTTATCCAACTAAAACGGCATGTCTGTGTTGTGTTTCAGTTTTATTTGTGGGTCAAATGTTATTAAATATTTTTGCTTAGTTCAAGCTAATTTACAGACATTAACACACCCAAACTGAATAAAAAGGAGAATAATAAATAATTAATATGAAACAAAGATAATTGAACCATAACATTGACATGTACATGTATCTTCAAGGGAAAGCTGTGGTTCCCCCTCTCCCCCTCCCACCCTTACCCAACTTATCAAAAAATCTTACATCGTTTAAACTCATCGCTAATAATGAGCTTGGGAACTGGTGCCTTAAAGGTTAGTGGGGGGCCAAATGCAATAAGCAGAGAGGAGGTATCCATGGCAACCCTGGAAGCGGGAACCACCCCAGGAGCAGCCACTAACCGGCACCGTCACACTGAATAAATTCAGTGGAGATATTTACCTAAGAGAATACTTACCTGAGAAAATACTTACCAAACCACCAGGCAGGGAGGGAGGAGAGGGAGCAAGAATCCGCAATGATTTGCAAGAAGGCAAACATTGATCCGCGACTATCAGCAAGAATCCGCACTGATTTGCAAGAAGGCTAAGAAATGATCCGCTACAATCAGCAAGCAAAGCTACAATGCAAAGCAACACTAGCAAAAGGGCACACAAGGAGCCCTGCAATTCCCCGCGGGCTGCCCCGTAGGTCACATACTGAAGTGGGAGAAGACTGCTGGCCAACTCGCTCGAGTTTAACTTTGCCTAAATGATATTTAGCCACATTTAAACTCATCGCTAATAATGAGCTTGGGAACTGGTGCCTTAAAGGTTAGTGGGGGGCCAAATGCAATAAGCAGAGAGGAGGTATCCATGGCAACCCTGGAAGCGGGAACCACCCAAAGAAACCCGTCTCCAGGTGCTTGGAGAACGGAGGGACCCGTCAACAGGGTGACTTGGTACCTCCGATCACCCAAACAAATCCCCAAGCACCAAACAACTCCCACAGCTGCGCAAATTACGAAGGCACTAACCTACAATTTTGTAGCTGATCCGCAAGCTGAAATAGGCAAAAAATCCTGAACCAGGACAGATGGCTGCCAAGCAAGCTACCCCGGGAAGCAGTGAGGATTGTGCAGTGACGGGATTCTGCATGGAACTGTGGAACGCGCTGAAGCTAGTTTTTGTGACAATGCAGCTAGCGAGTCAGCTAGTGATGTCATTGTAAGCAGGCTGCGCCGCTGCAATTTTGCTTCTGTAATAAATCTTTGTTTCTTTTGGTTGGGTATCCAAGGTTGCCTAGCAACAATGTGGCGACTACGCTCCACAAATCTAGCTGATCCGCCAGCTGAAATAGGCAAAAGGTCCTGAACCAGGACAGATGGCTGCCAAGAAAGCTACCCCGGGAAGCAGTGAGGACTGTGCCGTGAAGGGATTCTGCATGGAACTGTGGAACATGAAGCTAGTTTTTGCGAGAGTGCAGCTAACGAGTCAGCCAGTGTCCTAATACAAGGCTGATAAGCGTTGTTGGGCCAATGGCCCATTGATTCAGAATCCCACTGCGAGCAGCGACAGAGGCAGCTCCAATAGGAAAGCTAGGGGAGAAGGAATTGCCCGGTATCTGAGCTGAAGTTATGATCTGCCTAAGCCAATCTGTAAGAATAGTGCGAGTGAGAGGCTGCCATTCGCAAACAAAAACAAGGGGCCAGACGAATACCCCCTAGAAGCAGGGAATATCATCATAGCGTGCACTGCATAGAGAGGATGCTTGTCAAGGCCAATGTGAATGAAAAGAGCCTTTCCGGGACGGGTCTGTCTTGGAGCCCTTGATTCGTATGTGCAAGGATGATGCGGCCGATAAAGAATCCACTGCAAAGTCCGGGACACTCAAGTGGAGGGATGACGAGTAGCTAGATAGGTTAGGTACCATGAACTCAGACGCACGCAGGAAGCCTAAGTACCCCAGAAACGAGCTGCCCAGAACATCTGATGATCTGGAGGGCCGAGATCCAAAGACTGCGAGGTAACTAGCATCAATTAATCTCATCCCTTATAAGCAGCTGCATGGACGAAGGAGTACCCTGACAGCACTTGATGCCATGAATGTCCCTTTGCAGGCGGAGACAATTTGCAAGCAGATGCGAGCACCCCTGATCCATGTGGGGAGCTCTAAAGCCTGATACATTAACCTTAATCAACAAATGCTGGAGAGTCCTGACCAGAAACACAACAATTAGACAAGGCATCCATTCGTCCATTAAGCATGGAGACCTTGATGGGTGCAAGTTGCCAAGCTGTCAGCAGAAGGAAATGAATTTCGCTTGGGCTGACGCATAGGAATGCCGAATCAAGGGAGCCAGGCCATGAGTACGAAAGGAGTAGCACTGCTGTTCTAAATCAGGGAAGTCAAGTCGGTAAGCAGGACGAGAACTCCGCATCGAAGCTGGACAAAGGCTGAGTATTTGGAGCCAGCTGCCTGGATTCCTGCCAACGACAATGAGAGCCAGCATCAGCACTCTGATTCATAACACCTTGCACATGTTGGGAGAAGCTATGATGTACCACTGCGAGCAGCAAAATGCGAAGCAACCGCATTAAGCAGGGAACTTTAGAAGTCCTAGCATTCGAGATGTGGACGACAGCATCGTGGTCAGAGCGAAAGAGTCATGCTTTCAGCCCCAGTGGTGGCACCAAAAAATGTGGGAAGCAATTTCTGGCAGGAACAGCTCCTTATAAGCGATAGATTGCTGCTGCTGAGCAGGAACCTGGGACCCAGAAGCCCTTTAGGAACATTCAATAGCCCAGTGATCCAGCTTCATCCAAAGGAACTGCCACATCAGCTTTAGGGAGCAAGCCTGGAAGGAGCCAAAAACCAACCCCATTCCACTGTGACAAGAACTGATGCTACCAAAGCAAGTCCAGATGACACTCTCTGTTGAGGCTAATCAGGTGATCCTTCTTGTGGAAGCAGCACAAAAGGTCGATCATGCAATGTAGGAAGGCTCTTCCTGGCCACACCACATTGGCAGCATAATGTAGATGGCCAAAGAGGGACTCCAGTTTGCGTCTGTTGCACCACCTATGCGGAAGCCATGAGCTTATCAGGCTCTGCAAGACCGATAGTTTGTCTGCTGGCAAGCGGGCAGCTTGATTGATAAAATCAAATTCAATTCCCAATACTACAAGCACCGTTGCAGGGCCCTCACAGTTCTCAAATGGAGAGCTAGGCCTGGCCATTTGCAAACTGCTAGCGCGGTACTCATGTTGTGCACACAGTGTGGGGAGGGGGAGACAGCGGTCACGAAGTCATTCAGAGTAAAGCAAGACACAAAGCGCCTTTCGCGAAAGAGAATTGATAATTTAGTCATGTGATGTCGCCCGGAACACTCGAGGATCGTAAGCAGAGTCATTTGGCTTTGGTCATAACTCTTTCTTTCTATTGGTTTGGTATCCGCACTTGCCTAGCAACAGTCATGACAGCGTCCCAATTGAGCTCAGCAGCGTGATGTCATTGTCAGCAGGCTGCACCGCTGCAATTTTGCTTCTGTCATAAATCTTTCTTTCTTTTGGTTTGGTATCCAAGATTGCCTAGCAACGATGTGGCAACTACGTTCCAACTGACTGATTTTTTGGCCCGTTTTGGCCGTCAAGAAATAATTTTGGCTAGAAACATTGACTGCAGAAGTACTTTCCAGAATACATTGAAGCAATTTGGGCCAGTAGCTTCAAAATAAGAGCGAAAATCGAGATACAAGGGCATTTTTCAGTGCATCTCACTTCGCAGACGAGTTTGTGTATGTCGCGCGATATGGTTCTCCAGAGTGTTTTGTTCAGTTTGGCTTTTTACCGTCGAAACCTTTTTCGTTTTTTTTTTGAAATCTAGTTTGGAATTCAATTCACACCGTGGCCCACCCAAGTGTATTGGTGTCCTGGTTTCCTCGCCGATAGATCAAAGTTTCTGCTCTGTACTGCGGCAAAGGAACAATAATTGCAAGCGAATTGTACTGTTGTGGTGGTTGCAGTTGTTGTTGTTTTTTTTTTTTTCATATTGCCGCCGACATAATGCTAAATATGCTTCCTAATACACTTTTTAAAAACACCATACAAATTGTAAAACAGCAGAAAAATGAGAGAAAGAACAAAGCAAGGACCTTCACGATGATGTTGGCAGTGGGTCGCCCAACCAGTTCCTAGCCTCGCCCGACAGGGCTTAACTTGAAGGGAAGCTACTAAAACATCGAGTTTCGCGAGGGTTATTGCGAGATACGCATTTATTATCTAAATAATGATGCAATGCACTTGAGTTAAAAAGCAAGGGGTAGAACGCTTGGACATGAAAAGCTTACCAGTCTCAAATTTGTTGCGGCTGCATGCTTGCTAGAGGCCCGATCGTACGCTAACCACACGCGGCCGGTGAACGAAAAATGACGTCAACACGAGACAATACACTAAAAGGCCTCCAGCCAACCGCCAATATCGTTCATACGCCGTTTTGGCTTTTTAGACGCTCGGGGGGAAGGAACAACGGGCGATACCGGCGGCGAAAAAGTTGACACAAAGAAGGGACAACAAAGTTTGGCCTACCTTGCAATTGGTTAACCGATCCGATGCTGGTAGCAGAAATTGGTGGGAAACCAAGACTAGACGCAGCCAGATCCAAAGCTTGAGAATGCAAACGAACGTCGTGGGAACGCCCCCAGCCACGCTTGAGGCTACCGGAACGCTTATTGTAGATGTAGTTTGTTCGGCTGAGAGCGCTGATTTAACGGCAGCGACCACGGAGGCGCGGCCAAAAAGGCAAAGGACGGCACGTCCGGAACGCTAGTCAGATGCGATGGGCTCCCAAACATCGTTCGCAGAAGAAGGAGGAACTTCTGGGATGGCACCCGTTGTCAAAGTGGGCAGTCGTGAATCCAGCGGCAAAAAACCGGCCGCAAGGCTGTTGTTTGTGTTACGTAGAGACATGCGGCGAGTAGAAAACGGTGTGTAACGGCGAAGACGGCAAGAATCCACAATGATTCGCAAGTAGGCAAACATTGATCCGCTACGATCAGCAAGAATCCGCAATGATTCGCAAGTAGGCAAAAATTGATCCGCTACTATCAGCAAGAATCCGCAATGATTCGCAAGAAGGCTAAAAATGATCCGCTACGATCAGCAAGCAACGGCGAAGACGGCAAGAATCCGCAATGATTCGCAAGAAGGCAAACATTGATCCGCGACTATCAGCAAGAATCCGCACTGATTTGCAAGAAGGCTAAGAAATGATCCGCTACAATCAGCAAGCAAAGCTACAATGCAAAGCAACACTAGCAAAAGGGCACACAAGGAGCCCTGCAATTCCCCGCGGGCTGCCCCGTAGGTCACATACTGAAGTGGGAGAAGACTGCTGGCCAACTCGCTCGAGTTTAACTTTGCCTAAATGATATTTAGCCACATTAATCCAACATAATTATTCTTTTGATTTATTTTGGTCTTGGGTAAGAGACCAGACAAAGTACATCATGCACAACCCTTGGTCTTTGGTATGATGGGGCCAAAGGCAATCACCACTCACTCACATATTAAAACTGGTTATGGAAACAGTAAATCACAACAGGAAGGCTCATTAATTTTCTTACCCCCATAATCCCAATGAGGGCAGAAGGATCTGATTATAATGTTGATGATGATGATGATGATGATGATGATGGTGGTGGTGGTGACGATGATTTTAGAGCAAAACAGCTTAAATGCAAACATTCCAAAAAACCAGCAAGTATAAAGAAGTGTTCGTTTATGCAGTTAAGCTACCCCTCCAAGTTTATGACTACATGACTCATACCTTTGTACAACTTTTGGTATGCAAGCCATGGGAGATAAAGTTTTATGATTACAGTGGCTCCATGGGAGAGAGCCCAGAACCCCCATGTGGACTACTCAAACTTAATTCATGGCTCAACCCAAATTAGATAATTATGTCAGACTTATAGTTATTAATTCAAACGTCAATCTTTTCGTGTACTTGATTGATGGTATTAGGTTCAGTACATGAAAAGTTCAAAGTGTGACCTGGGCCTTAAGCAATCTAGCAACAACAAGACAAACTGTATTTCTAAGCAAATTTGTTTTTTTTTTTCTCTCCAGCCAAGACCAATGGTCCATTTGGAAGCCTGAGTGAAACTGTTCAGAGATCAGCAGTGGAGGTGTTGTTTCACCTCCCAACACTGGATGGAGAATTGTTTAAAGTGATGGTGACTTGTTGCCAAGGAGGTCATGTCAGTGTCTCTGTCATGAAGTACATTCTTCAGGTGCTTCATTACAGGTTTGTAAAGTCTTGAATAGCCTAAGAAAACAGCCAAAATTTGGTGACATTACCACTGTTTTTAACAATAATAAAAAATAATGGCAATCTTTATACAGGGAGCTCAATTCGCAACGAGTGATATTCAGTGAGGCCCTGTATAGCGAAAGAAAAATATATAGATACATTTGTAAAAGAATACCTAATAGTAATAATAATATAAGCTACAGGTTAAAAATGTAAAAAATTGATACTTCGAGGCCATTTAGAGATCCAAAACACTTTCTCAAAGCTAAACTTAGAAGTCTGAATCCTTACGTCTAATTTAACATTGAAGAAGATGCAATGCACAAACTCTTGTTAATCAAGCAAAAACCTAAATAAGTTGATTGATTTTGCTCAATTTTGCTATTTCTTAGAAAAATATATCATGTGAGGCATCTACTAGACAAGAAGGTTTTATCTGAGAGGGGTTGTCTATTTATGATAATAACAATTTCAAAATCTGATTGGTACACTCTTACACTTCTCCTCAGGTCTCCTTGTTACCATGGATGTTTGTCTTCTCCAGCTGCATTTTCCCTTCCATTATACCTTAGTGGCCTGCTAAGTATAGCAATAGGTAAGATGATAAGCCACATGTAAGTGCTGCAATGAGGAGGGCCTTTGGAAATGTCCAAAGAGTTCCAAACATCAGGAGCAAAGTTTAAAGTTGTCCATTGTCCCCATCTTTGAGTGATAAAAGCTGTATGGATGTCTGCTTATCTGCTATTACAGTCAAACCTGGCTTCACGGACACCCACTCAATACGGAGACCTCATTATTTACAGACAGTTTGCTTTGTCCCTGGGGAAGGAGAGGCCTTACATTTTCTCTGAATTCAACTCGCTTTTAATATTTATTAAAATACAGACACTTTCTATGGTCAGCTCAGTGTCCGTAATAACTGTGGGAGTTTGACAGTGTATAGTTATGACAAAAGCTAAATCTTCTTTTTAAATGGTTTGAAACATTTCACATTTTTGTTGAGCTATTAGGGTTGGAGAAGTAAAACATGGCCTAAAATGTAGTTTTCCTAGCCATCAGGTTTGGGTTTTTTTAACCCATTTGTGAGCCTAAGCAATGGGATATAATTGCAATTGTCCTAAAATCAGTGTAATAGCATTTTACCATTTATTAACGAACTGAGTGACATTGTGGGAAAATTTGATTTTGTTTACTTCTTAACAACGACAGTGTGATAAACTCATTTACCATCAAACTACCTGATATCCTTGCAGTCGTGGTTGATTTAGATTTTATTAGCTCTGGTTACCTTAATAATCCACCGTTATGCCATGGAAGAATGTTTTACCCAATTTTGCCCTAATCTGTTGCTTCTCTCTCAACTTCCTGTAATAATATATTTTACTATTCCTGGATTACAGGTTTTTCTAGACAGCAGCTGAGAGAATATCAGGATGCCAAGATAGAAGAGAAGACCTTCCTCAAGCTTACTGAATTGAAGTGGGTTTTTTTATACAATGTACTGTTTAATTTATATTTTCCTTGTCCTTTATGAGGCCTACACTTATCTCCCCCCCCCCCCCAATCCCCTAAAAGAACTAACAAAAGATCATACCACCTTCCTACAATTCAAATGCAGTTTATGAAAAATTAAGAAAAAAATTAAATTCCTTTCTTTTTTTCTTTTTCCATTTACAATAAAAGAAAATTATATTCTTTTTTTATGCTTAAACAAACCCGCTGAAAAAAAAGTATTATGATATTTCTGGGATAAAAGTTTTTTCTGAAAGGGAGCGAGAAAAAATCAAGGATGCCAGATGATAAAAAAAACCCTCCTCCAACTTTATTGAGTTGAGGGGGGTTTTTTTTTAAATTGACTTTTTTAATTTCTTTTTCCTTTTTCCTTATGAGGCCCCCCCTTAGCTCCCCCCCCCCCCCGACTCCCAAAAAGAACTCTACAGAGTGCATACAGCTCTTCTTCAATTTAAATGCTGGTTATAGAAAATTATGTAAAAATATTAATCTCTTTCTCTTTCTTCTTTTCCATCTATAATAACAGAGAATGTAGTTTTGTTATCCTGGAAGAAAAAAAGCAGGTAAAAATAGTGACTTACTATAATTATTTTGTTAACAGGCCAGACCTTTCAATTTTGTGTTCAAAATATGAAAGCTTGATTATTCCAGAGGTTCTTTTCCTTTAATTTACAGACTGAGCAAAGTGGAATAGAGCCACCTGATCTTCTGCAGAGTGATGAACATACACTTGGAGAGGAACATCAAATTATATTGCAGGTACATGTAGTTTTATTTTCACATCAGTTTCCTTCTGCTTTCTAAGACCCCATCTACACAGTCCAGATAAATTTTTGAATGGACAAAAACTTGCACGGATCCATCTTTTGTTTAAACGGACCCATAGAACTGGGCGTCTTTTTGACCTGATCAGAAGTTGGTCAAAATTTTTAACCAGTTCAGTTCCACTTAGTTTATGCAGACTCGTGTTCACACCTGAACAATGCAAGTTTTTGCTCAGTTTTTGGAGCCTAGTCACATGCATGATGAAGAAGTAATTCCAATGTTGACACCAACCACAAAAATTTGTATGGATTCATGTAAACACTACTTAAACAGAATTTTACCGCTGTTGTGCAAACAGATTGCACAGGTAAGAAATTCCTCCGTTCAAAAATTTGTCCAGACCCGTGTTAAACAGGGTCTAAATTGCTGTAATCATGTCTACTTTGCATCCATTCAGGTATATTATTAATTTTCACCGACTTTCACTGACTCTTGTTGTCAAGTTTTTCACTCAAATTTGTTACTTTTTTTTAGGCTGTTTGTGAATGCTACAGACAATGTAAACAGTCCAACCTTCTGTTACAGTACATGACTTCACCAATGGAGACATTAATGGTGAGATTCCTTTGTAGATGAATAGGGACCTTAAGATCCGAGGACGGCGACGGCAGAGAAAACGTCGCTGAAAAAGTGAATTCGCGTTCTTTCAATCTTCATCGCGACTACTCCAAGTCACTAACTTTGTCAAATGTAGGTTAACGCTCCCAAAGGTAAATTCCTAAGAACCATATTCAAGTTCAGAAAGAGAGAGGAAATTTCGTCGTTGCTTGTGTACTTCCTCTGTCAATGTGAAAATAGGCATTTTCACGTCGTAGTCGTGCAGTGACGGCAAAGAAATGAACAAGAAAGCGTGATGCACGTGCAAAATTGTTCTTTTGCTAATTAAACCTATTGCTTTTGTGGTGTTCCAGTTGCCGTCGCCGTCGGCGGATCTTAAGGTCCCTAATGTCTTTTCTATGTAGGGCTAAAAGTGTATTATTTTGCAGAATTGAAATGTCTTGCTCGTTACGCCAGCTTTTTACTATTTATTCAACGATGATTTTCCACAAACACTGCTGATTTAAATGAGCATTATTTTTGCTTTCTTCAGGAAGATTTCAAAGTTCTTCCATTGTCATCAGTGCACAGCCTTCTGTGTATCATTAAATGGTCAGTGTCTTAACTTAATCCACACTTAGGATTTGTAAACCCAAAAATGGTCTTTCCGTTTGCAGTGAAGTCATCAAGTGTAACCGTACACAGTTTCTGTAGTACTGTTTATTGTAAATATGCTGTTGATATGGCTCTAGCCTGCGAACGCAGATATCCTCAGGTCATCGCTTCCCTCCACCCGATAAATTCCTGTTGGAAGTGACAACCAAAAATACCTCTGCATTCACAGGCTACAGTGGCTCAGACGCTATATGTAGATGAGACTGGCAAAACTGCAGTTCAGTCTCCACACTTTTTAACCTGTGAAAACAGCCCTCTCTCTCTCTTCGCTACTTGAGCAAGGGGAGATGGCTGTATTTGCAGAACACATACTTTTGTTTGCTTCTGTTTACATGAAAAAACTGATTTTAAAGTTTTTAAAGACATTATCTCTTACCAGTCTGTCACATGTAGGGAGCAGAACAGCCTTACCAACATTACCTTGTCTGTATTGAACAATATTCTGCATAGGGATGTGCGACAGACATTAAGATGTGGCCAGTTAAGAGTGCGTTTTTCCTGTGCACACATTGCTTTTAGGTTGTACTCTCAAGTTCGTTCTAACTTGAGAAACCCTTTTGCATAAAGTGCTGAACTGTAACTATCCATTGAAGATCCTTTTGAGACGCACTTTAGCTCGTTCACTCCTAATACTTAATAGTATCCAAAGGAAAAAAAACACAACGACGCTTTCATTTCTTTTGGTAAAATCCTAATAATTATTTTTATAGTACTACGCAAAAGTTCTGCCTTTTTTTAATTCGTGTGACGTTTCTTTGGAGTAAAATTAGGGACTTTTCTTTCTTATGACTTGAAAAATTAACGTTTTGTTGTTTTCATGCTTAGCTTATTGGAACTAGCTGCAGAACCAGGATCTACGAGCAGGAGTCACCTTTTGCCGGCGAAGATGATGTCAAATCTTGCCCAACTTTGCCTGGTTTGTTTCCAGTACTGTACGACCCATGGGTCATGCACTGAGGGTCTTTCTGGGGATTCTTCAACTTCGAAAATACTGCTGTTTGATGCAGTTGTGCAATTGCTTCTCACCGAGCCGGAAATAATCAAAGATATGCTTTCACTTCTGCTGAATATCGTCTCTGGTAAGGGAGAACGAGTGATAAGAGAACAACCGGGAGATAATAGGTTGAATTCAGGGAACGTATAGTCTGCTACACAACCGTTTTTAGAGTCGTCACGCAACGCTCCTCTAAAAACGGCTATGTAGCAGACTAAGAAACGTAAGGCCTCTTATCATTCGAAGCAAATTTTTCTTTCTTTTCATTGGCCAAGAGCCCACCACGTGACCTGCAAATAACTGCCTACAAATAATGGTCTGCTCATGCGCTTCGGCCTTCGGCAAATAATTGATCTGCTCGCCACAGACAAATCACGATATTTTGCTCAACCTCGTCCAATAATTGTTAATCATTTGAGGAAAGAATTTATTCGAGTTAATATGTATTGAATATTTCTTACAGAGAACTCTGAAGCTGTGAAGCAGAACAGTGGAGCCATACTCACGAAGATGTTAAGCTGTGACTTGAGAAAGATCCTTCTTCGGTTCGCGGATATTGTGCACCAAATTGTGCCCCGTATCTTGGTAAGAGTTTCACCCCAGAACGCTTTCTTGAAACTATCTTCAGCATTTAGTAACTATAGCGCGTTATTTTAATAATCTATAATTACACTGAATCAACTCATTAGTCCGCCATAACTTAAATGTTTTGGCAGAAAATATTGACATCAAAATAACTTTGTCTAAGTGNAAGATGTTAAGCTGTGACTTGAGAAAGATCCTTCTTCGGTTCGCGGATATTGTGCACCAAATTGTGCCCCGTATCTTGGTAAGAGTTTCACCCCAGAACGCTTTCTTGAAACTATCTTCAGCATTTAGTAACTATAGCGCGTTATTTTAATAATCTATAATTACACTGAATCAACTCATTAGTCCGCCATAACTTAAATGTTTTGGCAGAAAATATTGACATCAAAATAACTTTGTCTAAGTGTCTTGACATTTTTAATAGATTTCAACGTAGTTCACTTTTTGAATTTTTATTTATTTGATTGCTGGAGAATCTGATTTATTGATTAAGTGGCTGATAATTATCGTAAATTATTTTTCAGTGCCCGGCCGAGCACCCTGTGTCCCATCTGAGCCAATGCCTTGCAGATCTTCGTTACCAGTATTCTTTATTTAAAGTGGAAGCGGGTTTAAGTTAAAGCGCCACACATCCAAAGTTTGATGGATTTCCACATACGAGTTCTCGCGGAAATGCGTAAAGTGCAATCAATGTTTACCGTGTTCTTGCGTCGTCTTCAAATATGCTGCATTGACATGGGAACTGTAATAAAGGTTTCAAATTTAAAAGGGTAGTGAAATGTGGCTGAATGTATAATTTACGCTATAATACCACATTAACACTAGCAAAAACATGTTTTTATTTAAACTACGAAAGGTTAAATGAAACAAAACTCGGTATTAGTACATGTAAAGAAAGCACTGACTTTTGCGTATGATTCAAGTCAACTTTAACTTGTGCTTGCATTTGTTCCAAATTTGTTGTCAACAAAACGACTAGGCACCTTTTTGGAAGAAAACTATTGTGTGTAACTAAACAGCTTTTAAACATGTTTGAGCTTTGGTGTAAATGGGGTATTGGATAAACCCCCAACTTGTGGCAAAGTGCAGTGACTTCTGTGAGAGTGTTGGGGTCGGGTCACTCCTCTCATTTTAAGGATCGAGATGTGTTCAAGTTTTAGTTCATATCTTCTTCTACATTGCTTCTACACAGTTTCTACATCACCAGTGAAATTAAGTAAAATTTTAAAAGAGTAACATGGCACAAAATGTTGGTGCAAGTGAGATCTCTAGGGATGAACTAAAAACGTGAGTGGTATATATTTCCAGTATGTATCATTGCCACCCATGGCTTTTGCAAGAAAGGCCATTTTGATTTAATGGAAGTTGGCCTGTTATGGAAAAAATCACGTGATTCTCAATTTATCATGCGGTGTTACTCAAAATTGATGATACCGTCCACTGTCAGATGAACTTTTGAAGTCACGTTCCCTTACAGCCTTGATCTTTACACAGCAGGTTCTGAGTTCAGAATTGGCTGGAGAGGTTCGGATTCCGTCAGCTTTCATGGGTGGAATTTTCCGTCGGTATCTTCCTATTCGCGCAAAGTGGTGGTGAGACGTGAAGATGTTGAACTGGCCCCAGTTGTTCACAAGGTGGATAACGCTATCAATCGGATAAATCTCTATCCGCTGGATAGCGCAATTGGTTTTCCTAATAGTGATTTATCCGCTGGATAGCGTTATCCATCTTTTGAACAGCCGGGGCCTGGCAAATAGCAGAACACGTAAAGATGGCCGCAAGAGAGCTTCAAAAAAGATTGGTCTAAAAACCGAAGCCAGTGCTGCTACATGAACAACCGAACTTGGGTTATTTCTCGCTAGGTCCATCACAGGTTACGGGGTTTAAGGTACATTCTTCAAAGAGGTTCATCTGTGAGAAGACAAGAAATAAAAAAAGTCAGTTTTGTGCAGCATAATATGTCTTAAAATTTGTAAGAGAAAGACATAGGCGAACTGTTTGTGTTGATGAGCAATCATTCGTCTGTTTTACACAAAGTCACACCGTTGGTGATAAACTCTCTTGGTGACATGTGTAGTAGAGAGAGCGAAACGAGAGCGCGCGTGATAATAACCCCTCGCTAGAAAGGCGAGGTTATCTTGAGAGAAAGTACTGTATATTTAACAATTATTCTTTGAAATCGAGGTGAATAGTGGCAAAATATTTACCGAGCCACGAAGTGGCGAGGTAAATATTTCCAAAGCCACTATTCACCGAGATTGAAAAGAATAATTGTTTTAGTATATACACACGAAGTGATCTCAACAAAATCAGAGAGGAAACCATTCAAAAGTACGATTTGATTGACAGAT